TATGAAATTGTAGAGCCCTTTTTCTCCCAAAAGGATATAAAAAATCATATTATTTGTTTTTATATTAAATAAACATCCGCATTATTGTGTTACCCAAGGCAACAAAAGTCAGTCAACCAAAACAAAGCTGGTAAAATACGTAAAAATGGATAATAAAATATTAAACCAAAAACTGATATAATCGGATGACGGGCGACCTTTGTGAGAATTATGTATATCTAAACATCGGTTTTCGATTCCATAATCCCAGCGGAGAGGCATCGGATAACATTGTATTTTACGTCCTCATCGTATTTATGTACAGTAAATAAATGAGTACTACAAGTAGGTACATACTCGTATACCTATTATTTAGAATTATATTAGCGACCCGTCTCAGCTTCGCATGGGTGCATTGTAGAAACTTATGTGGTGTCAATGTAAAGTGATTATAATTATATTGCTATTATGATTATACTGAAGGACGTATTTATATACAATGTTCATGTACAGCTGTTTTTTCATGAGACAATACAAATATATTTTCTGGAGAGTTATTCTTGAAACCACCTACGCGGCCCGCTAAATTTTGATGCGCGATAGTTTTAATTGTACGATATAAGATATTAATTTAAATTGTGTGATGTAAAAGGAAGTTATTATCTTCATAAAATGCTGAAGATGTTAAAGTATTTTGTTATGTAAATATACTAAATATAATATTACACATGTGAAGATGAAAAAAATAACTAAAGTATTCAATTTAAAAAGGAGTAATATCGTAGCTGACTATACAGTATTCTATTTAAACATTTTAATGTTATGTTGTTATGTGAAAACTGTACATATAATGTAGACATATGTCATCACTGACTTTTTTGTAATCATAACAAAAAGTAACAATTCTATTATATATCGTTTAAACATACATATCTAGTAGACGATTAACGGCTGATACCATGATGATTATTTCAAAAGAATAAATTTTCGATAAAAGCTCTCAGTCAACTTGATTTCTTCCGACATCTTGAACTATTACCGTCATATTTCAACAAATTAACATAAAACAGTAGAATAGAATAATATAGAATAGAATAGAAATAATCTTTATTGAAATAAATATGTTTAATTATATACTATACTTTACGTTTACTTATTTACTATACTTAGTAACACACACGCAATAAAAAATTTATGTGTACATATATAACATGACTATTATAATATACAAACATCAATATATATGCAACTAGATAAATATATAAAATTTAAATTATATATAAATAAATAAAATATAAAAAATTACGACTAGCTACTATTGTTGTTATGAGTTCATAAGGTGAGCCTGGATTTTTCTTTCGAATTTCTTTTATCTTCAGGCAGTGTTTTCCAGAGTCAGAGAGGTTTTGTGATTTGTGTGTGAGAGTGATTTAAATCTTTTTTCAGGTAGGTCTAAAATAGACTTAGGAAATTTATTATAAAGCCTTATATAATTTGGCAAGAAACGAATTGCTGGCCTTTTAAGTCAGTTACCTTTTAAGTAATAGAGACAAAGTAAAGTACTTTGTCTCTATTACTTATTTGTCTCTATATTATTATTAAACATAACGTAAAACCTTTAAATTCTTAAAACATTCTATCTATTGATGAAAACCGCATAAAATCCATGTCGTAGTAAGATGGATGTAAGCATATACGCTAGAGACAGACGGCGGGAAATGATTTTGTTTTATACTATGCAGAAATACAACTATATTATATAAGTATTTTTATTTTACTAAGTAAAGATAATTAAAATAAATATTCATATATTCATTATTCTTGACGGGTGAAATGATATATTATTTTTATTTTGAAATAATTATACAACCACTTTAGTGATAACATAGATTTCGTTTTATTGTAAGTTAAAATGAACAAAATACAAACAATAATAACCAGTCCATGAACGTTGTTAAAGATGAAATACATATATATGCATAAGAGATTTTTAGATATTAAAAAAAAGAATGATAGATATTTTAAAAAAACAGATATTTATGAGAACTCACAAAGGTAAATATATAGGTCAGGTATACTATTAGTTATGTTTTTTAGGTTTTGTCATAATTATCTTTCATTTTAAATTAAATAATCTTCAAATTAAAATAAATTGCAGTCTAGCGTTTATTTTTTATAAGAATAGCAAATAAGTTGACAACCTACCTGATTGAAAATAGTAACCTTCGCCTTTAGCAATAATACCCTACATGCGTTGCCATTCTTGAGATCTAAGTTATTATTGGTGTAAAAAATGAAAAAAAAGTGAAGAAGCATCTCTCTTAGTTTTCTAAATTTTCAGAACTTCATAATATTAATAATAAAATCCAATTACGAATTTCATTACAATTATGTTCGTATGTTAAAATTATAGAACAAAATACCATAAACAAAAAATATTTAATTTTGACTTCGGTATCCAGTACGGTTTTGTCCGTAAATGGTAACCGAATAAGGGAGAAGTTCTGACTTAAAGATTGATTGTCTTATTAGCATCCGATTCTAACGATACATCTGCAATTTAAAACAAAAGAATGCACACATGCAGTTATTTATTTTAGCCTATAAAAATAAATTATAAATTTATTTGAAAATTTCATTCCATTAGAATATAAACAAAAACTAAAATACATATACAGTAGGTCCTTAGTAATGAAAAAAAATTATAAAATAAAACTATTAGACTATGAATAATATTTTTATTTGTCAATTTATAATTATCTTTCATTTTTTTATATTAAATTATTCCGTTACAGTAATTAAAGACTATTGTCGATGACTGCGCGGCACGTCACTGCTGAAATGCTTGCCATTTCTCTGCGGATGTTTTTTTTATAAATTGAATAGCACATAAGTTGACAACCTACCTTGATGTGAACCTATATGAAAATAGTAACCTTCGCCTTTAGCAATAATACCCTGGGAAGTTGCATCCGTTGAAACCATTCCTGAAAGCCTAAATTATTATTGTGTGAAAAAATGAAAAAAAACAGTGAACGACGTCAGTCTCTCTTAAGGCATTTCTAGGTCAACACTCCCCAAACTGTAACTTTAGGGCTATGAATAAGAAGAATAGAAGAATTTTGTTTATATGAAAGTCCGTTTTAAATTGATGCTCATCAGAGAACATCAAATTACGAATAATTGGTCAGGAACAACATTATGTTCGTATGTTATCAAAGTACCTATAATCCAAAAGGGATTCATATAGAAAAAAATATTTAATTTTGACTTCGGTATCCAGTACGGTTTTGTCCGTAAATGGTAACCGAATAAGGGAGAAGTTCTGACTTAAAGATTGATTGTCTTATTAGCATCCGACAATTATTGCTAACGATACACCTGCACTTGCACAGAAAGACACTTGCACCTGCACTTGCACACATGCACAAAAAACAGTTATTTAGTTTTACCTTCTAGATAAACAATAAATTATAAAGTTTACTTGAAAATTTCATTCCATTAGAATATAAACAAAAACTAAAAGTATGCATATAAAGCTTGAATTAGGTAGGAAGGTGTATTAGATTCTACTTATTATAATTAAAAAAAAAACACTCCTAATTTTTCATATGCCGAAGTTTTTCTGGCTATTTAATAAAAAAATTAATGGAATGATTTTTTTTATATCCTGTAACTATTAATTTTTCTGTGACACTGTATGCCACGCCAAAAACTATAGTTCGTATAATAACTATAGTTTCTGGCGTGGCATACAATCTGTGTTGTAATCTGCTTTACTTGACCATAAAAATATAAGTCATACATACTTAACAACACAAAACTTGGGCAACGACGTATTGTGTGAGGTATTTCATATGTGAGGCAACTAGCGCCGATATCGTAATAAGTATCTATCTGGACAACATCATAGTCATCATGTCAACCATTAACTGTCCACTTCCGAACATAGGCCTCCCCCTATTGGAGGGTTTTACCAATAGTTGCCACGCTTGGCAGACAGATTGGAAATCGCAATTAGACTTTAGTGAAATTTTAAGAAAGACGCTATTGCCCATCATTCAACCATTGAGTTCCTTTAATCGCCTCTTACGACACCCACGGGAAAGGGAAGAGTGGTCCATTCTATGCCGGCTGCACACGGCAGCACGTTACATCTGGATACCAATCCTCCAGAATTACCCGTTGATTATTTGGCATAAATTCAAAATTTGTTTATTTCTGGAAATTGGTGAAAACTAAAAGGTCACTCATATTTGAAGCTGTTAAATTTTAAAAGTATATTTTTTTGTAAATAAGCATTTTATATCTAACACGATTAGATAATAGTCACATAAATAATATCTATAATACTTACGAATATTGAATTAGTAGAATATGTGTTAATTTTATTCCAAAAAATCAAGTGTATCTAATGCTATACAGCTGGGCTGGCATTAGCCTACCTGGTGTCCCCGGCCAAGTTTGTAACGGTGCCCTCTAACGACGAAAAAACGTCACCATCTTTTATTGAGGTGCCCCGGAACAAACTTTTAATGGCGCCCGCTGCCACCCCTTATGATGAAAACGAAAAGTCATCGAGATCCGTACCGTGCACTGTTCAACGTCGAATTTGATCCTTTTCTATTCTTATGGTGCTATTTAAAACTCTAATTCGTGAGTGAGATTACTTTATATGGGAACTATATGGTCTTTTTATCTGACTGTAACTATACTACCTAGACCTACCTGCGTGTATTTGTTAAAGAACAAATTGCATAATTGACTTCCAAGGTCTATTAATCAGTCTAATAAATTCTATCAATCAACCTCATAAGTGACCTAATTAACGTATAATACAGATTTTGTAGAAGCTACATCAAATTTAATTTCCTTAAGTAGCTCCGAAGTGGTCCCTAGGGCTAGTTCACTGCAATTCGCTATTGGTTAGTGGCACCGACTATGAAAATATCATGATAACTTCATAATGTAAAACAACCCAAGATTTCATACTGGGCACACGTATGCTGTTACATCATATTTTTAATAAAAAATGAACATCAATTTATTTTATTGGTTGTTGCTAGTTCTTATTTTGAACATTTTATGCCACGGTGATTTTACAGATGAATACTCATGTGATTCCAATAAAATACCGAATAAATTGTGGAAAATGAATTTCGACAATTTGAAATTATTTAACATGTTATTGAGTAGAGAAAATTATCTGTCAACTCATCGATTGAAAAGAGAAAGTAAGAGAAACTCAAACCCGAACCATCAGATAGTAATATTAGAAGAAATTAAAAATGTTACAGATCCTGGTATCAGCAACAATTCAAATATCGACAAGCATGCGTTAGTAGTGGCAAATTTTGAACGAGTGTGGCCAGTGGGAAAGTGGCGAGAATACGGATATTTTACAGATGATTTCTTAGATTTAATAAACGAACATTGGCTACACTTTCCGCCACCTTCGCAAACTTTACAGAAGATATTGGGAGGTTTCTATCTGATATTCTCCACTGTTGGATGTTGGGGCAACGTTATTGTTTTGTTCATGTATCTCAAGTAAGTGCACTACATTTTATTCAAGCCTGTTATTATTTCGTTTTTCTATTTTATATTTATTTATACAAGTATAATCACATAATGAATTAAAGAAAATTAAAATTTCTAATCTTAACACAATAAAAGCTATTGTCTATTTTTTATAACTCAATGTAAAATTTATCCAAATTCTTTATGGGTTTGACAGCAACTGATTCTATTGTCAAATATTCATAATACCCTGTAACCGAACATTCATAATCCATTACAATAACGTCATAGCAGTTGGTGTGATAGTCTGGCTTCTGAAACTAACATACCCGAGTAACGAAAATTTACACTACGAACATCTGGCTGCACAACTTTGATGAAATTAATTCATAGTCTGAAATGATTACCTGGTACTCAAAATTTCTCTTTCAAAATAAATTATAGATTTTTTTAATGAATGATCATGGAATGGTAATCCCGCCTGCGCTAACGATATATTGGCGGAGCACCAATGAGGGGTAAGAATGAAAAGGCAGATCAGTTAACCCATTATGATGATTACACCTGGAAGTTAGCACGATGATTTCTGAGGGGACCATGTGGAAATCAACCTGACAAAGAATATTTCTAGCAATGAGACCAGTGGTTCGCATTACTAACATTCCTTTCTCTGCTAATAAAATTTAATTAGGTTACAATAAATAAAATCTGAAAAATGATGATAAATTGGTTCTCTTATGAATATAAAACAGGTGAATTGATTTGAATATTATAATTTTATTGATAAATTAAAAAACTCTGTTATGAGTATTCAACTTGCAATAAACTTATTTGTTACTCTATACTTTCATACTAATATAATAACGAGGAATAATTTGATTGATAATTTTTGTAATGGATAAACTTAAAAACTATTAAACTAATTTAAAAAATTCTTATACCTATAGAAAGATACATTATCGGCGAGTGTGCTAAGCTATATATTGTTTTCAAATAAATTAAATTTCAAAATAAAAAAATTCTCTATTTAATATATATAAAATATTAATTTATTTTTCTCTCTCCCAATGCGAAGCCTGGGCAAATTGCTAGTACATTTATAAATTAAATAGACGAACTTCACTAATGGACGTACATAATTTACTAAAAGGGATCTGAATATTCCCGGCAGTATCTTAAATTTGTCGAACACTGGCATCGTACTTGACGTATAAAAGATACACTTAATATCTGAAAGCGTCGTGATACGAACGGTTGTGTACCATCAATTACAAACTGACCAAATTTGACTGTCCAAATTTTTAAAAAATTAATTTTTTTTATAAAATTAGATATAACGTCAAAATCGTAACACTTAATCCACTTTTAATTCAATGCCTAAATTTAAACATAATTCCGGTTAAAAAAAAAATAAAGCAGTTTATTATAATGTTAGTGACGTTAAAAGTGAATATAAAGTACAAATAGTGATATTAAAGTCGTACGAGTTTCAAGATTTTTGACAACACTTAAATCAACTTTAATAGTGGAAAAGGCGTAGAAAAGCATTTTATAAAGAAAATTATGGATGAGATAAAAAAATCAAAAGTGAAACGTGAATTGATATTGAATACATGAATTCGCAGTTTCAAATATTTAAATTATCTGAGCTGACCATTTCTACTGAGAACCCGCTGCATATGTTTACGAGATTCAAACAGCAATGGCCAGAAAAATTATGGATCAAAAACGGATTATACACAAATGATTATTTCACATTAATTAACTCACATTGGCTCCGATTCCCACCTCCAGATCCTAAAATAAATTATATCTTAGGTAGCCTATACATCGTAATGATGATTGTGGGATGTTCTGGTAACGCTCTTGTGCTCTTTATGTATTTTCGGTATGTACCTAAATGTAAATAATAAGATATAAATTACTTTGTTGGTAATAATTATTTGTTTATCAGATGAATATGTTTGATATTAGATAATTTAAAATACCTGGTAGATTTCAATATGTGAATATGTTTACTATTATAAATGTTAATCTTTTTTCTTCTTCTTAATATTGTAGATATTAGTATAAATTTGTTTGTTTATTACCTTATATATAATATATCACAAAATTATATATTTTTTGGATAGATGAGGGCATAGACTACCTTTTTTTTTTACCAGTCAATTAACATATCCCAGTGACACTGACAAAGTTGCGTTTAAAAGCTAGTGTTAAATAAATGTTTTAAATCAATAACGTGAAAAATGTGTATGCTCATGCAAGGCCCAATCATGTATGTTAAAATTTTACATACCACGATTTCCCTTATCAGAATCATCAGCAAATTTTAGTAAATAATAATAAGCCCCACACGAATATACCAATTACCTAATTTTTAATCTAGGATACTCTAGGGTACAACCCAAAATAATTTTCATCGATATCTCCAATATAATAAAATTAAATAACTTTCTGTAAAATACCGTATATAGTGGTAAAATGTAATCTACTAGAGCATTATGACAACAATTGTTTAGAAAACAAAGCAGTGTTTTACAAATATAAAGAAAATGTTTTATATTTCTTAGAAATTTAATACCGCTTGTTATTAGGGATCGTCTGCTTCTCCATAATATTGGACTATGCTCATCACGATAATCGGAATAGATAACAACATTTATTTTTTCTATATTTGTTTTCTCAGAACATAGCATGAATGACATATTATGGACCATTGGAAAATATAACCTTTGTTACTTTACATGCCTTTCATACTGATGACATATTTATGATTTTTAAGTTAATATCAAACTTCATAAAATCTGGCAATTTTTTTTTACTTACAATAAATTGCAATACAAACAATATATATATATATATATATATATATATATATATATATATATATATATATATATATATATATATATATATATATAATATACGCAATACAAACAATATATATATAAAATAATACGTTTGTACTAAATTTCATGACGATTGGTTAAACCATTAAGATGTCAACAGATAAAAAGAGAGTAAATGATGGATTTAACAAAAACAATTTGCAAATTAAATAAATACTTTAAGTGATAATAACATTAATACTTTTCAAAATAAATGAACATAGAAACAAATAAAATAATATACTTACAAAAATTATACATAAATACATCACATACAACACAATTAGGTATAATACAATATATTAAGTATCATTAGATCATTTAATAATATTAGGAACATATTGAAGAATTTAAATCATGTTTAAAAAATATATACCACAAAATGCAGAAGGCAAGAATAAATAAATATCTATCTACATTAAAAAACATTGGTTTTACATCCTCCGCAATGCGAAGCGGTCAAATATTGCTTGCTTCACAATTGGATTGGTTTTAGAAGCTAACTTTACTGGGAGCCTATTTACTTTATATGGAATGAAATAAAACGACGAAATGAAATTCTAGCCATGACTTCATTCACTTGGACTTATAAGTTAAATCGAAGTCATTAGCCGTACGTAAAACTGAGAATCTACCCATGCTGTAAAATATATTCATTTTGGAACATAAATTTCGTGAATCAACAATTAAACAACAACAAAAAAAACTGAGTCTCTCGTACTAACTTAACAGCTAGACGCGCCGTGTTAGTAATATAATATACTTATAATTTTGATTTCACCTTGTATATGAGTCCAAAGAAACGCTCTATGTATATAGGATATAACTTATTTTTATAGCTAGTATAAACTAATTTAAAATTTGCACATTACAATCCTTATCATTATATATTCTTTTATAAAACTAATACTATAAATATTATAGTGAGTTTGTTTGTTTGTTACATCTTTATGCCTTAACTAATCGACCAATCGACATGAAATTTGTTGTATTTGAAATGAAGAAGTTTATAGATTGCTTTTTAATTCGATGTACCAATATGTTCCATCATACAAAGATTGCCGCGAAGAATAACTAGTAATATTATAAAATTAATTATATTTACTGCATCGTAAAACATTCATCAAATATTTGAGCGAACTTTGACCCAATTCTGAAAGTAACAAACAAACAAAAATATTTGTTATCGAGAAAAGGGCGAGATGGATCGTTACAAATGGCCGGTAACGGTGGCAGAAATGCAGAGCAGATATTTCCCCTTACAATTTTCTACGCGTCTTGGTTACAAATATAAATTAACGTTATTTGACAGTGTTATTGGAAAATCTTCGAGTTTTATGACAGCTCAAAGAGATTAAGGTTTTATGTTTAAGTAAGAGGTAGTCAGAAACATTTGTCGTTTATTACTGTTGCAGAAAACGTAATACTCGAAATGTCCACATTTGGCCAATACGAATAATTAGAATCGAATGTGGGGGTAGACTAGTCATCCATCGGATCATTTAATTTGTTAAGTATTTTTTCCATCTGAAGAGTTAGTTGAAAATTTTAATTAACACACAATTTTTTGTCTTGGCGCTCTAAGATATTTAATCTATATTACTTAAGTATATATACAATATCTCATCTTTTGAACTGTATTTACGTATAGGTAATTACACCGGTAAATATAAGGACATAAAAGTAATTTATCAAACTCATTGCTTGCTTCATGATGACGTGTCTTTTTTATGTAATTTATTTTTAATATCGCGTGTCTTACAAAGCTAGTGAAGCTATTTTATTGCAACCAAAATGACAAGATTGTTGTACAAGACTTAATAAGCGCTTGCTTGCAAGCCTTTAATAGATAAGTATAGATACAATAGGAAAAGAAAAAAACAAAAAGAAAATACACCAAAGATCTCTCTATTCTTACATAGCTGGTATATGTCCTACTTCACCCATTTACATAACTTGTCTCAAATTTTCATAACAGTAACTACTATTTGACTACGGGTGATTTTCTCTCGTATACAAAAGAAGGCCGTCTCCGTTATATAAAGACCTCTGAGGTGGCCTACCAGATGACGGCATTACATGCTTTCCTACAAAGCGCGAAGCGAGTAACCATCCAAAAATTTAAAAATTCGGAGGTATCTTCAAATCGTAGTTTAGCGTTGTTTACCTGAGCTGTAAAATACCTGTAAAATAAAATTAAGATGTAACTTTTACTTAACTCTGGAAACTTAACCGTCTCTAATTAATTGAAACAATTATCACCTTCTACAAACGAAGGTAATAGGCAATTGGATACCCACCCGGGCGCAATGGACCAAAACAAAATTCGCTAAGTTAGTTAACTTAGTAATTGCTCGTATTCGTTGCGTCGTCGCCGTAGTACACCGGGATGTTAAGGAAATAATACAATATAGAAGTACCTATATTACTTCTATTAATTTATAGTACGGTAGGTAGAGTGTTATCGAGTCTTACCTATGGTGAATTTATCTGATTGAATTCAATCAGATAAATTAAACATAATTATGTTCATATTTTTTTAATATGACTGCCTATATTTTTGTACACATGTTAGACACCTCACACACGCATTAATATTTTGTACTCAATTATTTTTAAAGGATTTATTTGAAAGGTATTCTTGTGAAAATCAATAAAGATGATTTGAGTACTTTATTTTTTATATAGCTATATTACTTACCTTTCGTCATCCATAACTCATTAATAAATCGAAATTTTAAGACCATAGTACTTGTAAATTTCCTGAACAGTAGGTAAAGCTTAACGATATTACTAAATTTATTTTAAATTTTCTGTAACTAGATAACATAACATCGAGAAACGAGATAACATCTCGTTTCTACCAAAGAAATAAATTTAGCTTTGAACGTTGACTGTAAGTAAGTAAGTAAGCAAACGAAGTGTTTATAACTTTCTAAGTGTGAACGAGTGCACGCACAAGTTTTCTATTCATTTCGTCTTATAAACTGACTTCCTAACTAGATACCTTTATCATATTCGTAATACTGACGAATTATAGGTAAGGTTTCTTTTAAAACTGCTAACAACATATATATTGATAAGTATATGTTCAAGTCCTTGAATATATACAAGATGTAAGGGACAGTTAATTTTAAACTTTCTCGTTGTTTACACATATTTTAAATACATAATCGAAAAAAAAGATTTTTTATTGAGATAAGTCCCGCATGTGTATTTGTTTTTAAAGTAATCTTTTAGAGAGTTAACTTTGCTAAATTTAATAATAGTTTTAAATTTATTAAAGGGCAATACAAGACATTTTTACGTTTAATACCCGTTAACATAAAAGATATAACAACTTTTTCTAAATTAATCTTCAGTATACCAAACATATATATGTTTATATGCTTATGCATACCATTAGATTTTTTATTATTAAAATTACTGTTTTTAAAACAGTTATAGGTAATTAAGGATATCTACGTTAGTTCACAATATTTGAGTACAGATGTGTTTCTATTATGCGAATATTTGTCACTTTAAATTTCTTTCAATGACTGACGACTTCCCCTGCAATATATCGCACGAATGACACTTTTTTGTAATATAGATATACTTTTGATATTAACTGATTTACCCCATAATAATATTCCATATGACAATATATAACAATGTAAGGAACAACCAGCAGTTCGACGCGATTGACATGTTTCGAACAAGTACACATCACGATAGACGACTGGTAGAGAACAATTCTTTAGACTGTGAATTATAAAAATAACTCTAATAAACTAATTTTGCAATATCAACATTTATAGTTGTATAATAATGTCTGATTTTATATACAGCATAAGCCTCAGAATTCAATTTAACAGCAAGATTTTGAATAGCGGAGTTCATTGAGATTCGTTATCCGTTGTATTAATAATTCGTCATATACTACGACAAAAGATCTAGATACTATTAAATTAAGAACTATTTTATACAGTCATAACGTAAGAAAAGATTAGTCACTCATATTTTATTTTCCAATTTATGGTAATATAACACTGAATATATTTGTAATCCAATCGTCTAAAGCACCAGAAATTTTATTCCAAGCTTGCATATTGTCCGATCCCTCTGGCAGTGTATTGGGAATCGATACGTCACTGATATCCACTTTCCATCCAGAAGAAATGCCTTTTTTGGTTAAAATACATAACATTAGATTTGTAGAATGTTTAGAACACTTTAAAGCACCATCTGGATCATCATTATCTGAAATAGATAAAACGCCTTTGAAAAATACAATAAATAAATAACGATTGTTTACGATTACTAAAAACGAATAATATATTATAAAAATATTATTAAAGATAATAAAAATAAATGTTTCCATTACCAACAAATTATTTCATTCCAACATTTCCTATTTGGAATTTTTTTCAATCATCAATAATTATTATCATAATATGAAAATCGTATTACTCTAATATTTACTGATAACTTACAAGACTATATTTAAGGTTGCATACATTTTGCAACATAATCAGATAAATTCACTTTCTACAGCATACATTACACTTACATTAGTATAATGTTCACAATGTAGCCAAACTACTCACCTATATCTCAGTACGTAGATACGTACCTACTTTTTACCATATACAGAAAAACGTTGGTGGTACATGTTTTACTTACAGTATCACATAACTCGTTAAAATATCTACATGATCATTATTCTAAATCTGAATAAAGATTTTCTATAATACTCGTATGGATTTCAGATATTAATATACAATAAAAGCTCCTTCACACTTCACGCTTATTCACGCTTCCTTTATTCGTGTTTTCTCTGTTCGCGGATTAAAAAATTGCGACCCAATTCCTATATTCACGGCTAAAGATTTCTATATTCACGGATCGAATCGGTACTTAAAGTAAAGGATTATGTATCCTTTGTAAAAGTGTCGTCAAATGGACTAATAAAAAAATAAAACAGACTTTATCACAACTACGCCTAAAGTACTTTGCCAAATACTAACGCCACTGTATAAGTGCTTCGACTGCCTATCTTCACGGTTTCTGTATTCGCGGCATATTTACGGAACGTATACCTCGCGAATAAAAAGCATTTACTGTACTTACTAAAATCTCAAAAATTTCTCTAGAAAATATTTCATTTACTAAACAGTACCATGTAGTTATCCATGAATTTGTGTACACAACTGAGACATTTACTGACCGGAATAAAACGTACTTTACATCCTAATCTATCCCATATAATACGTGTGTACCAACTTTTACTGTGATTGGTTAAGCTGCATAGGCGCTATGAGGTAACAAACAAACTTACTTTCACATTTATAATATTAGCAAAGTTTAACAAAAACATGTCCCAGCTCTACGTCCTACATACGCGACTTCGTACAATGGAACTAGGTAGACATTAATTCCTTTCCTCAGCCGATTTTGATAAAAATATATCTACTCATAACCATTTATAAATAAAGCTATATCCAATTTTAATGATAAAATGATATACATATAAGCAAACAGAGAACTTCTTTTGTACCTATGTATAGCCTCGCTTACAGTACTAACATATTATTATGTTGCCTGTGCTAACAGTAATCGCGATTATTAGCAGTAAAAGTAATCTAATATTAAATTTAATATAAAGATAAACATAATTATGGAAGCATAACCTGAGTCGTTTTTTTCGATTGATGGCTCCTGGTCATCATCATCGTCGAATAATAAAACACTCCTTTCATTTGACAAAAAGTCACTCTGATCTTCATCAGCTATTATTGCTGTAATACTTAAAGAAATATATAATAAATATATTATTATTTTATTATTTTCCATTTTCAGTTATGAGTTCAAGAGAAACGGTAAGCAATCAAATAACAACTAAATTAAATTACTTAGTAAAATAACGACTACGTCTTATTAAGCACCTATGTCAATAGATATATATAAATATAATTTACATTTAAATAATGGCTAAATAGGTGTACACGTAACTGCGTACAAGTAAAATTCCATTCCAGTTCAGTATTTAAATTGACTGATGTTATTGTTTTGTTATACTTAATACATAATAAGCTTAATACGTAACGATTTACATAAACCATCTTTTTATTGGTATACATAGGTATATGTAGTTAATGTAAATTGTAATCTGATTGAGTCGCAACCAGACATAATTCATAAAATAACAATATCCCGCGACATCAACCGTATATAAGGTTGCAATTAACATCACGATGTGACTAGTCGGATCGTGATTTCAAATAACCTTTTTCAAAAAATGGGCTATTAAATAGAAAAAAAAACAATTCCTACTGGTAGTTCCAAAGATTAGTACATTCAAACAAAAGCACAAACAATTATAATTAAAACTAATTAAATCGACCACTTTTAGATGGTGTATCAAGGTAGAACATACACCAGTATTTAAGTTAAATCTTTGGGAACATAACTGTTATTGTACTGAAATTGATGCAGTACTTGTTGTGTGATTCCGAAACATCTATACAAACAAATAGGTAGACAGACAAAAATTCAAAAAAATATTCTTTTGACTTTCATTGCTCTTATTAACGATAAATAAGTAGACAGTAATTTGTAACAGACCTACCTACACAACAATTAAGACACTGCATATAACTTCTTCTTAAATATTTCCTATGTACAGACATGGTCTAGTTGTAAAATTATTATAGGTATTAGTAAGATAAAATTATTATAAAATAGAAAATAATTCAACTTATTTTCCAATACCTATTTAAGCTTGCTATCCTAAATTAAAACTAACTTATCTTTGTCGGAAATTTCCGTCAAACTAACTTTAGGTAATTAAATAGAAGATCAAAGGGTTAATATGATTAATTTGTTACAGGTGCCGATCGCTACGCACGCCAGGAAACATATTAGTGGCTAACCTCGCTCTCAGTGACTTCTTGATGCTTGCCAAAACTCCAGTCTTCATATTCAACTCATTTAATCTCGGTCCGGCTTTAGGGAAGACCGGTAATTTATAAAATCATAATTTAGGTGGCTAACCGGCCTGATTTCGTACTGATATAAATTATACATATAAAATCCTTTTGAGAAGTTCTCTACAGTACAGATTAATGAAAACCACGAGAAATAAAATTGTACAGTGTACTCATTTTATTCTTTTCATTGATTTCATTAATTTTTCAGTACTGATTATGGAGATAGAGAAACTCGACATAAAGATGCGATGGGAACTTTATGATGAAACTTCATAATGTTGTGTCAGTCTAAATTATTGTTTAACGGATACGTTTAAATAAATCAATGATTATAAATATAATATTAATTGACAATTATAATTCTAAACATTTTAAATCATTTCAATGAAAATATAGACCTCTTATTTCTATAACAGATGGTTCTGAGTCACTTGCATCCACTGGCTACCTACAACACGTTTGAGGTCATCGCAAAATCTAATGGGGCGTTACCCTATACTCCATTTATTTGTATGCGGTAGCAACGGAGAATTTTCTCCATAGGTTGTTTTGTCTATTTCATCTTGATGATCCTTAAACCTTAATGTCATAAGACATAAAGGCGGTAATTGCATCTAAGCAAATATCTATCTATTAATTAGGGGGAAAATTAGTACTAGGGAGGTTAGTCCTCATTGTTAGCAATATACCCTGTTAAGTTGACCTTCACGGGGTCTCTTTGAAAACCATTATAGTTTTTTTATAAGATGATAATGGAATATAACCTCGCCTGTGCTATCGATATTCAACAGCTGTGCATCTGTGAGAGATGATAGGTGAAGATGAAACAGACCAATTGGCCCATTATAACTAATTTTCAGGGGAATCCGCGTGGAAGTCAACCTGAGAGGGTATATTACCAACAATGGGTCGGCTAAATCGCATTACTAACAATTCCTTCTTCTCTCCAACTATTTTAGTTGATTCCTGATAAACTCGTCACGATAAGTAAATTGACCTGCTTTCATCCTAGTCCTCACCAGCGTACGCTGGCAATGCAAGCAGGGGTGTTATCTTATTTTATCCTATTAAAAAATATATTGAAAAAGCATAAAATATACAAACATTGAAATCAACGTTGTATATTGTATTATACATTATAGAACAGTTATATTACTGACTTATTAAGCTATAAGTAGATGGGTATGCCACACAAGCGGCGGTACAGTGCCTTGACGCGACACACTATCAGGTGGGCCGTCCGCGTCATCTTTTCCATTCGTTGTATGTATTACAGAAGCAATATCTAAATCATTAATTAACATGGGCGACTTATGATAGGGATACGATAAAGACTATGTTTAAATACAAGTACAAAGTAGAAACGACGGACATTTCTTAAACTTACTACTTTTGTTAATATTCCAATTTAAGCCTACCTGTACTCTAAAGAAACTCAGTATCTAAGTATATGCAGTTACGATACTTACCTGTATTTATATCTATCTACAGGTTGCATCATTTATGGATTTTTCGGCGGTTTAACTGGGACCACGTCCATAGCAACGTTATCTGCTATCGCACTAGATCGCTACTGGGCCGTCGTTCGACCACTAGAACCACTCCGAGCCTTGACCGCAATAAGAGCACGATTGATGGCAGTCAGCTCTTGGCTCTATGCAGCAATATTTGCTTCGATACCTGCATTTGACTTTGGATATGGACGTTATGTTCCCGAAGGTTATTTAACGAGCTGCAGTTTTGATTACCTTACAGAAGAGCAACTTCCTCGTATCTTCATTTTCGTCTTTTTCTGTGCCGCCTGGGTGGCACCTCTTTGCATCATTTCATTTTGTTATATAAGCATTTTTCATGAAGTTGCTGGCAACAGAAATATCGCAATAAAAAACCAAGAACAAAGGCTTTCTACAAGACATATTAAAGAACGAGTGAAACGTAAAGCTGAAATTAAACTTGCATTTTTGGTTATGGCTGTCATAGCTTTATTTTTTATTTCATGGACTCCATATGCCGTAATAGCGCTTATAGGCATATTTGGAAGAAAAGATCTTATTACTCCAATATCGTCCATGATTCCCGCATTATTCTGCAAGACTGCCGCTTGTATAAATCCATTCATTTATATAATATCACATCCCAACTTCCGAAAAGAATTTAAAAAAATATTTTACTTTAATAAATCGAGACGTATGGAAGGCACTATAAAGACTACAGGATACTATACAAATACTACAAGAATTCACAGACCCAGCAAAGATTTGAGTGATACCGATGTTGAAGTTATCGAAATGAAAGACATACCAAATCAAAGTGAAAAATCAGTACAAAGAAACGAGGAGAGAGTGAAGACGATATCATCAAAAATATCAGAACGAGAAGGATCTCAAAAGAGTGCAAGTATGAAAAGCTTTGAACAAGACTTAGTAAGCCCACCATCATGGTATCGAAAGCCACAATTTGCTAGGAAAAAGAGTTTCTTTCGTTAATTAACAAAAAATATGCTACTGCTTACTTGCTGCTTGGCCGTGTGGTCTCTGCATAGAATGGGCCACCCCTTCCTATCCCGTGGGTGTCGTAAGAACCGACTAAGGGAAGGTGAAGGATAGGCAGCATACCTCTTAACCTAACAACCTAAAACCGTTCATAACATTTTTTTTTATTTTTAAAAGTTTTAAGGGCTTTTGCCTTCTTTAGGTATATTAGCGCAAATGTACCTTGAACTGATTTCTCCAATAAGATTTTATCTACTTTACCTATTCAAAAAAAGAGGGGAATTAATGGCCATCAAAATGTATAAATATATAAGTACCTACCGAAATAACCGCAGTGTATATATATATATATATATATATATATATATATATATATATATATATATATATGGATAAGGAAATTGTATCAAATGACACTACTTGAACTTCTAAGATTATATTTAACACGTTTAGCAATAACAATTTTTATTCCAGTAAGCTTAATAATAAGCATTTTTGCACAGACATTTCTTTTTATGAAACTACCGCCTAGTTCGGAATGCAATTTCAGCTGAGAAGAACGGGCAAGAAACACAGCCGTTGCTTTTTTCGAATAAAATAAAATATATTTCTATGTATAAATTATAGCGTTCATTATTTACCTACATTTTTTTTTTGATGGATGAAAATGGTATGGTAACCCCGCCTGCGCTAACGGAATACGCTGGCGGAGCACCAGTGAAGTGTGATAGATGAGAATGAAAACAGGCCAGTTAGCCCATCATGATGAATTCATCAGGAATTAACCATGATAGTTTTCAGGGAGAACCGCGAGGAGGTCGACCTGGTTGGGTATATTGCCAGCAATAGGATTCTCAGTCTCCATTACTAACAATCCCTTTCCCCCCTATTTACCTATATTTGAACCCTATTATAAAGTAAATACCTTATAAATAAAAGATTTGTATTGGCAATTTAGCACCACAATTTTTATAGACTAGGGAGAAATTAATGTACCTATAATAATAAGTATTTATATATATATCTTACTAAAGCCCCTTTAGCATAAATCCAGTACAGATGAGGTCTACATTCCATTTTTATTGAAACACAATCGATATACTAGTACAGTATTATATTATCCATGATATGGTAATAGCTTTTTTTTTTTATTAGACATAGTCTAGTTACAATACAGACTAACAACATAAATAATATTTCACTCGTATATCGCTTAGCTTGACCACCTCTCCTAACATAGCTCAGCATGTGGCGGCTGTGACTGAAGAGTGAATTGACACGCCTGGTGGGCTAGTAGCGACATCTTGTGATGTAATGTGGTGTTACACTTTAAAAATCTACCTACCTGCGCATTCTTTCATGTCTATGATAGAACCTGCATTCTACCCAAACGATACTGTGATTCCATTACTGTGATAAAAACTATTGGAAACATAATTTTAAACGTATGTAAAACGAAGATGGTTTATCTCCTTAATACTCGTAACTACATCACTCATCCATTATATGAAAACTTCTGATCTTAATTGATACTATCATATATATATATAACATGTCTTATTATGATTCAAGTAGTTACGTAATCTTTAGATTATTATAAAATGCTGAATCTTACTTACATATATAACAGCTATAAAGAGCAAAGAAAACCTAAAAAGACAAAGGTGGACTGTGTAAAAGATATTATGGCCAGAATAGGAGTGATTGCGGAAATGACTGCGAATAGGGAAGAATGGAAGAGAGAACCATATCACGATTAAAATACTTTTAGCTGTATTAATAATAGTGCTTTGTCGTTTTAAAAACAGTTTTCTTATTTGTCTATTGGCAGCCTTGCATATATGTCATCATAACCTCATTCATTATGACATCAGTGTCAACTCGTAAAATAACAAATGCGGAGATAGTACTATAGTCAGCGCGTTAAAGTAGGATGCGAATGACAGTTATATTAAAACCTTAAAAAATTCTAAACGATTAAATATTAGATTAATATCAACTAAATATTATATTGCTATGAATGTATCGGCTATGATTTCAAGATTGACTTTAATTTAAAAAATCATTTGAATTAAAAAAATGAATACAGTTATTTTTCAGTAACAACTACTCAAATGGAGTAATCACTCGCATCATGCTACAACGCGCAATAAATAACTTCAGATCTTCGGAACGATGTTGTATCAAATTCAACATAACCTTTCTTTTAAATTGTTTCGAATATTATCTAAAAATAAATATGAATATATGAGATTTTTCTGTACTAAACAATCTTACAATGTACTTTTTTTTGGTTCTGACAGTATAGCACTGAGTAGTCTAAAAAAAGTAAACGAATTCAGGTTAGTAAAAAATATTTTACTATGTATACAGTAGTTGTCTTCTAATATTATTCTTTGCAATATCTAATTTTGTAGTTCTAATTCTGACTTGAATCATGTATTTTATTTAGGAAAACCAGCCATATAATTAAACGTTTAAACCTTGTTACAAGTAATAAATCAAAAAATAAGACTGAAATTGAAAAATATGCAACAAATGAAAAATTACAAATATTAACATGGCCTCTTCGCGACATTCATTCGGGAGAATACGATATTGGTCTAATTGTTGCATTTGGCCACTTGATCAAGGATGATGTTCTACAAAAATTTCCTCTGTAAGTACCTATAAATTTGTCATTTATAAAACGATTTTGTTAACAAAATTTTATGTGTGCACAAATCCAGGATACTATAGTACATATTTTCAATGTACAAGGTGCTTCCTTTATTATTGAAAATAGCATTATGATTTTATAATCATCATCACCATTATTCATCCATTATTTTGTTAGTAAGCGGCCTTAATTTATTAACACATAATTTTGTACAAAGTGCCTAATAAAAACCGATTAAGTAGCCATTATTGTAATACCAGTTGTTTATTAGTGTCAAATAGAACTGTTTTGGGCTCCGCATAAAAAAATCAACTTCAGTTGTGGCAAAATCAGTTATTTTGATATTAAAACTAAACTACCGAACTGACTTTGGTATAATTTATATGGGACCAATGTATCCAAATAAAAAATATTTTTCCACATCAGTTTAAAACTGATGGAGTTCTGAAGTAACAAACAAAAAAAAATATAATTGAACTGAAAACCTGTTTTTTGAAGTTGGTTGAAAATTATTTTGTCTGAGTGAGGTACTTCACTAGCATAGATACTTACCATACATACCTTTGATCTGTATGTTGACACCTCAACACAGGAACATGATGAAATAGAATTTATGAATGGAATGATAATTATACTCATTATCTTATGGGATACATTAAATTCTCTTTTCAGTAATAAAAGATTATATTTATTGTTTTATATCAATATATTTAATTTTATTTCAATATTTTTGTTAGGGGAATGGTAAATGTGCATCCAAGTTTATTACCGAGATGGCGTGGAGCTGCACCTATTATTCACACATTGTTACATGGCGATCAAATAACTGGTGTCTCTCTTATGAAAATCAAAGCAAATATATTTGATGTGGGTATGTTAATTTATTCTATATAATTTTTGTTATAACTGTTACTATTTACAAAATTTGATTAAATTAAATATTTTATATTCATATTTAAATTGCCATATTTGATTTTGATATATTGATTGATTAGGATAAAAAGTGGCTGTTATTCTTTTCAATCACAAATAGTATTTGTATACCAAATCATGATAATTGATTAAATAGTTAAAGCACCAAGAGGTAACTGACAAACTTACTTTCACATTCCTAATTAGTAAGGATTCATTAATCCTTTATATGTTACTTTATAGCGTCTTAAAATTTAATTAATCATTATATGGGATGGAAAAGATATAGGCTAATTTTTGTCCCAGTCAATAAACATATCCCAGTCATACGAACAAAGATGCAGGTAAAAGCTAGTAGTTAATAAAATGAAGAATAATAAAATACAGAGCTGGTAAATTAATTTAAGAATATATTCTGATTTAATACATTACTTTGTATTTACAGGTGAAATTATAAGTCAAAAAACAGTTCCACTTTCAAAAGATATAAGGTTACCAGAATTAACTAAACAATTGTCAGAGATTGGTGCAGATATGTTAGTACAATGTATAAAATCATTACCAGAGAGTTTAACCAATGCAAAACCACAAAGTTCTGAAGGTGTCACATATGGTAACATTAATGTTTATAATTTATATTTCCCTTCTGCTTTATTCCCATGATGTATTTACTATTTGTTTATACTATTGCAAGTAATGTAAGAGATATTAATAAAACCAGTAGAAGTTGAAACAATTATTTTATGAAATTTTGTCTGTTTGCATATGCAAACAATAAAAATATAGACAGCTATATTTGTTCTGGCATCACACAAAAATTACTGCATGAAAATAGATGCAGGTTTCACAGTTGTATACTTGAAGCTGTAACTTATAATAATTGGTGAATACTTTGTCTTGATACACCATCTAAAAGTGGTATATATCATTAATTTTCCTACTTCTGATATCTACAGGCATGATAATGGACAAAAAAATTAGTATACTATAAAACTTTAAATGTCAAAAAACCAGTTGTAGGTATTGAAAATGTTTCGTCACTTTTTTCTAAGCTAATTTCCAAAATTGACAAAAATAATCATTGAACTATCCTTATTATCTATAATATGTTGTATTCTATTGTTCTCTTGATAATCCTAACAAAATCAAAAAACTCTTTCCCACCAGTCAACCAACGGTTATCTCTAGACAAATTCAGGGAATGTTTTGAATGTTTGTGTAATCATTCAAGACATACCAGTGGTGGTGCAAGAAAGAACGTGTGTGATATTCTTCCTTGCACTGTGATATTATATTTTGTTTATTATAAGAGAAAGATTGTTCTTAAATTTGACGTCATTATACTTGAATTACCTCCATACCTCCATGCCAGTTTTTACTCATACATTTAGCTATGAAACAATATAAAATTCACTTAAATAGATAAGTTATAATTTTATACTATTACTAGAATCAAATTTATTCAAACACAGCTTTATTCATGGGAATCACATTATTTTCTTTTCTCATGTTTAATTCCCAAGAACTTCCCATATCAAAATAATTTCTGCTGTTATTATTACTAAACATTAGAAATTAGTTACAGCTTTTTTTTAGATGTATATTAAGATTTTTTTTTAAATGACATTGTACTATTTGTATAAAACATATTTTTTCTTATTTACTTTTTCAGCTAAAAAAATTAATAAAACTATAAGTGAAGTAAGATGGACAGAAATGGATGCATTACAAGTATATAATCTCTATAGAGCAATATATGGCTTATATCCATTGACTACAAAATTCAGAGATAAGCAGATGAAATTATTTAATGCATTTATACAAGAAGATGGTACTGTTGCAGATACCAGTGTACCAGTAGGAACACTTGAATACTGTCAAAAATTCAATGCAATAAGGATATTATGTAAAGATAGAAAATACGTATATTTTAAATCTCTTAGAATAGTAGGCAAAAGAGAAATATCCGCATTAGATTTCTATAATGGTTATATCAAAAATGTCTCGGGAAATGACAGAAAATGTATAGTTTCACAATGTGTAAATTAAACATTTTAATTTATAAAAATTGTTATCTTTTTAAATATCTTCTAACATACCTTTCAAATATTTTATAGATACTACACAAATAAATAAAATACGAATAAAAGTAAACGTACATAAAATTTACTTTCATATGTAACTAGCAATAAAAATCGCGATTTTGAAATATTACCTTGGTTGAAAATAGAATTAATGCATACATACTACAAGAACATATAACGTCAATTTTATTAAAATATGTAAATTAGCATTTGATCATTGTAAAAGTAATATTATAAACCCCTATTGTATACCTAGTCTTGAAAATTACGTAATTCTGTTGTTGCCCACTACTGAATATGGCCTATAATTTTTTATATTCCTAATAGACTATAAGACAGGATAGTTCTAAGCCAACTGCATCCATCAACATTATACAATACATTCGAAATCATCTCACCATGAGTGGTCGCCCAACACTATTTTTACTACAAAACAGGACTACTCTGAAAATACCCTTTCTAGTGGCTATTAGTCCAAGATATTAAATTTGATGTTGATAGCTTAATAAAAGTTAAACTTAAGCATTATGATACAAGTAGCTCAAGTCAAGAGAATCAAATTGATTCTTATAGAATGTAGGCACCTCTGTGCGTTACTATTCTATGAGAATGAGCCGTTCCGGTAGGGCAAGGAGGGGGGGGGGGGGCATGATGTCATAGATAGAGTAGTCAGAAAGGGAGGAACACGTCAGCCTAGCCCATATACCCTCATTTCATCTCAGTTATTAGAGTGTACGCCATTTACAGGTTGTAGCTGAATTGATAGGGCATTGAATTATATTGAATTGATGAAAATGGCCATTTAGACCTCCGAGACATTAGATAATTTACAAAGCAAATTTATAAGCCTTTAGGTAGATTTGTACATATTACATCTATGGGCTATGGAATGGATAATGGGTTTTTGAATAACAAATAGTATTTTTTAATTATAAATAACATTTATTTAATTTTATATTTAAAATTGAATGTACACAATCATTCGCACTGTTTAATATTACCAATAGTAAAAGAAGTAAACAATAATCATTCAAGTTGTAAATAACTACAACCCTCATACTAAACATCTAACAACAATGCACAATTTGAATTCGCCAATTAAGTAAGGTAATTTATTATAAAAATTACTATTACAAATCGTTGGGACACTAGAACATAATCGTTGGGACTATATACTAATATAAATCTTTAAATTACTAAAGGGACTACACATTTTTGGCTGATAATTAAATACTAAATTAGATATTCTAGATAAGTTTAATTCTGCACTTTCATCCTGAAAAACAAATAATAGTAATTATTAATAAATATTTTATATATCGAATGTAGTGTACTTATAACAAAAGTAAAAGGTAGATCTTTTTTTGATAAAAAAGTTTTTTACTATTAATATTGACAAAGCTATAGAGGCCGGATTAATCATGTACTTACCAGTAAGTTATTGAATATTACTAATTATTATTTAATGACGTATTACACACTAAAGAGGATACTATTGAATTGATTATGACAAATATTATGGAACAATGCGAATGAAGTTGATGATTATATGATATTATAAACCCCAATTAAACCATTATATTTATTAGAGATTTGTATAATTATTTTTAAAATATTCGTTTTTATTTCCCTAAATTGCAGTTATTAAGTATAATAGCAGCTTTATTCTCGTGGTTTTTGTGTAATCTCCAACTCGATAAGAGCCCTTGTTTATTAAAAACCTTACACAATTTAAATCGTAAATGGGTATTAATAATGTCATTAAGTTATTCTTAGTAATTACTAGTCATTTTTAAGGTAGCCAGCGCCCTTCGACATCAAGAGTTTCCAAACAACTTATACGCACACAACTTTGGTGTGGCTAACTGGATAACCACTTTATATGACCTTTAAATATTGAAAGTTATTTTTTAAATTAGATTCTTTCTTTAGTCATCATCACTAATCATGTATTTAAACAATCAACATATACGTAATAATCATCTATTTTACACCATATAATCCACAAATTAGAGAGACTAGGTAGTATTTCCAGCACATTATTATATAATGTTGGTGTTAAAGTAAAATTTAAACCTTATAAATTCTTTGAGATTTATTTTGCTTAACATCGCGTATTAAAGATATTAGTATTTGTAAAGGGATTTGTATTAATATATGAACAAATCCATTAGATATATTAGCAGATTTTTATTGATATATATGAAAATAAATATATTGTTTTGTTATAGTGCGGAGATACTGTTTCCTTTTTGTAGTATTTTCTTCCACTGAAAGATTCATCTAATACAGGTTAATAGAATAGATAGTATATTAATTTTGAAAATAATAAACAACTTTTGAAACTGACACTGTATAATTAAGTAAAAGAAAACATCACATATTATTATTATAAAATAGAATGGATACCTATTACATTAACAGAAGCCTATATACGTTACGACATTACGTCTTACCTCTTATTTTTAACTTATACAGCAATGTGATTTTCTAACTATCCGTACCCTGAAAAAAATAAACTAAATAGATATGTGCAAGCACAAATACTGTGCAATTTACATTTGTTTAGTTTTATAAGACTTCTGTTTTCATGATGATTGTATTCTGCCTGTAAAACAAGTGACAAATTCGATATAACAGCTATAGTGTGAAATGAATAAGTATGTTATTTCACAACACTGAAACTTTGTGTGCAAACTACGAATGATACAACAAAAGTAACATTTAGTAAAATTTTATTCCCCTCATGTATTACAGTGTCTATTAAATAATATTAAAAAATCCCGAGCCAGCGGTTTCATTTTAAAATTGGTCTAGGCACTGCCATTTTATATTTTTGTTGGACTAGTTATATAAGCTAGAAGTTTATTGCACATTATCGTCACTATTGTAATGCAACATTTAAGTACATATAATAATCTAATAAAATGTTAAAATATAGACTAGGACAAAATGGCTGCTTATAAATATCCGTCGAATTAGGACTCCGGCGGAATTATAATAACACATTTTTTTTTCTAATCAATAATTTCTTTTAAAATGAAACATTGGTATTTTAACCAATCTGGCTGTTATCTAAAAAAGTGAATAAATTATTCACTAATAATAATTCCTAATAATTGATACAAACTTGATCACCAAGCCCAAGCACTACACTATACCATTTTAACCTATTAAGTTTTTTACTATAAAACCTGCAGACTTTTTAAAAATAATAGTTCACTTTTAAAGGTAAATTCGATGTGCTTAGAAGTCTAAATGCATCACTAGATATTCTGAAGCACATCAATATCATTCATATTTAAGTAAAATTGTATAATCTTAAAAAAGTTGATGGCAAGAAGAGAGACTAACATATAATTTAAATACATCACAAACAATCACAAAATTCACATGGTAAAAGTGCAAATGAATTTTGTTTTCTAAATTGTACAATTCAGCTTTTAATATATTTATTTAATTTCACTTAATCTTACGAATATAACTAATTTTTGTCGGATGTATTAACATAATTCATTCAAATAACAACAAACCAAAAATTTTTATTGTAATATTAAAACGATTCGATTATACCACTATTTAGAAAACATTAGTGCATTGCAATGATTCAGATTTGTTTTAATTAAATGATAAAATATTGATTAAACCATAATAGTAATGCATTATGAATCAAAATAAGTGAAACATTAGCACCTGATTATCACAATGATAATCATATTCTACTTTTTCCATTATACTATGTGCACACTTATAGCATTTACAGTAAGAGGTATCATCAGCAGAAAATCCACCTATTAAGTTTTTATAATGAGTTTACAAAAATTACTTTTTTTGTTAACTAGATTATAAAAAAAACTTACGTTTACAGTGACATAATTTACAAGCAGTTTATATATCTAATATAAATTGGCCGATGTGAATGTGTACTTTACATTCACATCGGCCAATATATATTCTTGCTGATGTATTTTCAATGTAGTGTCATGATAGTATATACCTCTACATATTTATTATAGCTTGTATTATTTAACATTAGCTGTGTATTATTAGTCAAGTATAAATTTACTTATACACGCACATAGTAATAAAATAATTAATTAATTGTTTTGTACATATTGAAAAAAGTTTTTAGATTTCTATTACAAAAATCTGCGCTCTTTACTGCCTTCTAACTTATTGCACCGACAGACCCTCGTATTGTAAATGCTCATCATATTATAATAAAGACGAATTATTTAGAAATAATTACCTTTGACAACACACATATTTAAATGATGAAAACTATTATACACATGTAGATGTTTTAAGTGCTATACGATTTACATAATGATACTGGAAAATGTGAAAAACATAATGAATTAATATAAATAGATAATTGATTATGGTTTAACCAATTTGTAAATTAAGATGGTTAATTTTAATAGCAATGTCTCGGGTAGTGACATGTGCAGTGGGTGCAGTTGACTGGAATGCGATAATCTCAAGTTGATGTCAAGCACTGATGGGGCGCGTCACTCAGGTCACAGAGAACTTTTTGGCGGCGGCTGTTCCCTAAAATATTAGTGAAATGTCAGTAATACTACTGATATTACTTAATCAATTAGTACCAACACCAATTTTTCTATTAACGAGTAATTATATTCCACATTACTTGTACCCATAAACTCCGTTAAACATTTAGTAAATAAATTTTAATTGAAGTGTTTCGTCTCTTTCGACAAAACGATTTTTAATACGCACATACGATTTATCATATTCTTGCTTTAAGTATGATAATATTGTGATTTCATTGCGCGACGCACATACAAGTAGTATGTGCGTCGCGTAATGAAATCGCAATATTTTTTATTAAACAAACACAGCCATCCCCATAGAATTAAAGTAGTATTAAAACACAGACAGTTAAGACAAATATATATTAATAAAACCACATGCATAAAAAATATAAGTATAAATATAAGCACACAAAAATTTGTTACAAAGAAACTTCATAGTATATTTTCAATCACAATTAATATATACTGATATTTTTGGGAGCGAATCTGAAAAGTTAAATAAGATATTTTAAAAGCAAATAGATCACAAATGTGCTCCAATGACCTTCTAACAGAGACACGAGTGTGGAAACACAGTTATATAAGCTTAGATAAACTGTTGAATAGGGTAAGGTCGTATGTGTCTCATGATACAGATCGGTGATTAAAAAATCAATCTTAATATATGAACATATATATTTTTTTTATTTTATACATATTTCGGTCAATAAGGTTCCATTTTGTTGGTAAAAAAAGAATAGTTTATTTTTTTACATTATATTTATTATGGCTCGTCAATTTGGATACAAGCAGTATTTTCTATTCGAAAAAAAAAAACATAAAACAGGGAAGATAAGATCAAACAGATAAAATATATTACGTGAAATTCTGCATACGATATATTATAACTATATTTATATTCAGCACCTATGTAAGTCTTTACAACATCAATAAACATTATCTCAACAACCACTCCAATATGTTCATTTACTCGAAGGCTAGTAGCTAAAGCGAGATAACATACCTTGTACTGGCGAATTTTGTTAGCTAATGTGACAGTTAATACATCAACAAAGATAAAAATAGTATCTACTACATATTCTATATTAGCATTAACTTCTAATACGTAAGTATATTTCAAAGCTACGGTAAGTTAGTAAACCAGAAAATAGTTTGTGCATGCTATTTACTAATGAATAACATGACTGCAGATTTTTGAACACATTAAACTGATTCATATAATATGTTCAACACTGACCATCATTTTATGTTAAAGAAATTAACTAGATAGTTCCAGCAGAATATTTTGACAATGAAGCTGGATATAGGTGCCCACCTCTATACAAATTTAACATGTGAAATAGCATTTTTTTTTAATATTGCAAATTCTGTATCCAATTCATACTTAATTATTATGTATAATTTGCAGTATACTAATATGATTGCTTATACTTAACATCACTGTATAAATAGAACAGTAATTTAACATTTCAATTCACAACCAGGTCTAAATTAACACTTAAATATCCTTCAAGGTAAACACTTTACTATAATAATGGAATACCGAAACAAATGATAAATAAAATTATGTCTTATAAAAGTGCAGTCAATGTATTCACCTGTACATTATACAATCTTATCTAAGTACTAGCACCCTGTAAAATTAACATACAAGATGTTATGTAAAAATTAAAGTATCACTTCTATTCTACATATTTGGCTCTAATGATCTAACTATAAGCTAAGCTTGGCATAAAGGAAGCGGATGCATGGAAAAGATCTTACATGTGTTCTGGGTGAGTACGGATGCAGTTAATGAAGTCGCTAGGTTTTAGCTCGCCTCGGCAGATACGGAAAACAGCTGTGAACAGTGGAAACCTGTAACATACAAGTAAATTAAATATAATTAATGTATATAATACTACATACTTACATATTTACTACTACCTACATATTTTTATGTATTTTATACAAATTCTATTATTATTCATCATTCTTTAAATATCATCTTTTTTAATCTTACATAACTACACTACATTTATCAAAGTGGATGTCATGTCTCATTAGTCTATATATAGTCTATTTTCCTCTATATAATTATATTTACCTTCATTAAATACTAGTTAAAGTAAAAAAGGTGACTTCCTTACTAATGGAATATCGCAGCTGTTATTTACACATTATACAAAATATAGAGTATATGCCATGGTGCCCATAACCCTTCCCAAAAGATTAAGGTATTATGCGTCTTGTGTCATAGCCGATAAAAGTGAGGAGGTTGATACGTTTGAGGCATATCTGACAAATCTACCACTATAATATATACACTTCCAGTACACATAGTGTCAGGCTATTCCTCTGCCAAATTCGAGTCGATCCAATAATCAATAAATTGTACCAATGTTTGTGTGCTACATTTTCATGAGTCACCTTCACAATATTAAATTGATAACTGCCAATATAAAACACCTGTACTTGTTAGGCTAAAATATGAATATCAATAACTTCATAGTTTTCTAGCTACCTACTATTTTTTTTTTTAATATTATGAACTTACCTACCAGCCTATATTTTCTTTACATGCTAATAAAAAGTAATAAGAATTTCAAAACATCTGCAATGCTCAAATTAAATTAAATAATTTAGCATTACACTACGAAACACAGAGCGGTTAACCTACATCAATTACATGGATATAAGCCAAGACATTCTATTTATATGTATCTTAGAATTATGCAATGTGTACATTAATAATTAGCATTTAATTTTGCTTTAAATGTCTCAAAAGTTTTGATAACTATTATTAGATTTTGTATGTATTATCAATTGCTGTTAATTTAATCATTACATAATTCATACTAGGCATAATGCGAAATTATTTAAGTCATTTTATAACTTTCAGAGTTATAATTTTAGAAGCAACCTATTCGAAAACTTAAAGTTTCGTACAGTATCCCTTTTAGAGATCACGTGTTCGGCCTTTTTTATTTCACTTGCATGCGTGAACAATTGTTGATTAACAGTATAGTGATAAGCCGCCTAAATTTCGTCTACAGTCGTGGGTCGCGCTAGGTCGCGTGATACATCGCGTAACGGGTCGCGTTATAGGTTGTTGTAGTGTGGAATAGACTGATACATCACTTAATAGGTTAGATGATAGAAAACGTGATCAGTCCATAGATGGTGTAGCAAATCACTGTATAGGTATATGACAAATATATCTATGTATTTCTATGTAAACCACAGATATATATAGAGATACACGCTGAATGAGTTCAATTTATATGAAAACTATGCATGTTACTAATTTAGTAATGACACAAAAGTTATTATTTATTTATTAAAACAAACCTCCCCACGCAATAACCTTTTATAAAAAATTTAATAAATAATTTTATTTGTTCTATAGTTTTTTTCGACATAAATTTTATCTCCTAGATAACATCGAATCAAAATTTAGGCAAAGTCAATTAATTTCTGTCACCTAATTTATGCCAAAAAATTACATCTATTTAAATCTATATGTGTTGCAAACCAACAGTATAGTTTATACTGTGAAAAAGTGGCAAATCAAGTATACAGACGCCTGAAGATGAGCAACCAGTGCAGCCCACGAACGCTTATAACACCAAAGCAGCACACGAGTTATTATATTTTCTTAAGAAATAACTTAAGAGTTTAAACTTTAAGGATAATCATTATAGTTAACACTGTTTTCACCTGTTTTCCATATTTTTGTTAGCAAGCATATGGTTGACTTCATCCGCAGTGATTGGCCCCTGAAGTTTCTGTCCATTCAACATTTCATCTTCCAATTCTTTTATGGAGCGGCCGGTTTTCACGAAGGCTTCCGCAACGCGCCTGTTTCTGCCACCTTTAATGTATTGACAAAATAATATGACTACGGAACTTATTTTATTGGCCAAAAACAATTTTCTCTGAATCATATTACACTCAGATATTAAAATGCATATAGATACATTGTCAATTGCATAATGCAAAAAAAAAGGAGTTATGCAAAAAATATATTAGTGAACTGAAAATACCTACGCAGATTTGCTGAGCAAAAACTATTTTTTCCCGTTTCTGTGGGACGTTTCAAAAAACCTTATTTTCTTAGATTGCCTGTACTATATGAAGATCTTTGAAGATTATTGGTCGTACATTTCTCAAGAGTTCATGAGTCACTTGACAGTGACAAGTAGTGAGTATATCATTCATTACATAACAGATAATATCAGATACTTGTTGAAGTATTTACACATGTGGTCAGACTTCGTACTCAATACAAAAATAATAATATCTACCTAACACAAGTGTTAAGTACATTTTTGTTCGAAACAAACAGGTAATTTTGGCTGATAAGGGTTTTTGTTATCAATTCAATCCTTATTATCTTTTAGATAAATATTTATCTATTATAATTATTAACATAATATTTTTATGTTTATGTCCTACATAAACGGATATTATGTGAAAATATTGTCGATATTATCGTCAATTGCGATTTGTCTTAATTGACTGAGTGAACACCCCGTGTACGTTGGTGAGCAAAGTACGACCATCAAGTAACTATCATGCGACTCGCGAACATTGCTGAGGCTCTAGGAAGCGTATTTGTGTAATCTCATCGATGCAAACATATATATATATATAAATACAAAGATAAAAATATTGAATGATAAAAGCTAGTTTCATTAAATTTATTTGTAGCGATTGTACTAAAAATTCTTTACAACACGTGTTATTGTAATTATTATTTTTCTAGATAGATAGAGATACAAATAACAACAAACACAGATAGTCATATACAAAAAGAGAGAAATAAAAATAATAAAAAAAGAAAAATACATATAATAAGTAACATTTTTTTTCTTTTCATGTGTGTGCCACAATAATACAAAATGGCCACAACTTAGTTTATTTGCTTAGTTTATTGCTTTCAAAAGGGCAAAATACTGACTTTCCATTGTGGCCAAAAGCTAAAAAATATATCTTGTGAATGTGAGAAACATCTGCCTTCAAAGAAGACTAGTTGAGAAATATTTTTCATTGTGTTGAATAAATCTAAATCAGCTAAATATATAATCACACTCAGGGTCTTTATACTTATTTTTATACTATAGTATACTATTTTATACTTCGCGTATTAATTAAACAATTTTAAATTTGACGGACCAAATTTTATTAAAATCGGTAGAGCGGTTTTTAGAGGTAAGCGTAAAGAATATCGAGACACAGAATATTTATAAAAAAAATTACAGATTATTGCAAACAAATTAAATACCAAGCTGGTTATAAACGAATATCATCTCCTTTAAACATGAAAAACACTATAAAATAATAAACTCCTTCATGCGAACTAAAAATAATACATTTGATTAATTTGAATGTCAAGATGTGCAAATAATTTTAACTTTGAATCCATGGTGACGACATTTTTAGTCAATTAAATTATATAAAATTTTATAATGATAAAATCCTTTCATGCCTTTTTGAAAGACCTTCCTGCGGCAAAACTTGATATTATTTCAGAAAAAAAAAATTAATAAAGTAATATAAATGAAGGTTACCTTCAATAAAGGAATTTATGTTTTGTTACAATAAAAAATATTACATACCGTAGCAAGTGGTTATAAGGTCGGCAACCCCGCACGACTCGAAGAACGTGCTTAACTTGCTGCCTGGGTAAAATACATCGACGAATTTGATCATTTCCATAAGTCCTAGCCGGATCACTGCCGCTTTCGTGTTGTCACCGTAACCGAGACCGTCTACGAATCCAGCTCCCACAGCAACGATGTTCTACATAACATTTAAAAATAATACTACTATTAAAAAAAATATCAATATTTACCACTTTTAATTACTGTATCTTAAAAGATAGAATTGTGAACTTATTAATATATATGTATATATAATAGTACTAATTTTACTGCTTTTAACTGTTATTTTATTCAAAAGTATTATTGACTTAAGCATACGGTTAAAAGTACTTTTGACTGGTTAAGAATTTTGACTGCAACATATATATATATTAATGTAAATTTTAACAGCTATATATTTACAGCAATTATAAAAAAAGTAATGATTGGCTGAACCTTGAGCGCTCCGCAGATCTCTACAGCGTCTTCATCATCAACGACTACAACCCTGAAATACTCTGTCTGTATGATGTCTCGCAAGATGGGCGCGAGAATCGCGTCGCGGCACCCGATTGTGGTCTCGCAGAATTTTTCTTCAGCCACCTAGCAAAAATAATTGATAAATTAACGTTATAAATGTAAAAGTCTATAAAGATGATGAACGTTTGTATGTTTATCATAAATGAAAGTACACGGATAAACTATATAATTGTTTATAATTACTCCTCTCCATCCAAAAGTTGCCTGGAAGAGATTGTTCTAAGCGATAAGGTCACCCATTGTTTTCTCATTGTGATTATTTCTTGTAATTATTTGTATTTATAATAAGTTTACTATTGTAATCTTTTGGAGGAAACAATAAAATGTATCTATCTATATATATATACTTATTCACAAAGGGAAATTACTAGTAACTAAGATTATCGTAGCCTGGTTTACAAACCAGCTAAATCACAAACGACGTCAATATACAAAAGTTTGTTCCTTAAATTTAGTTACGATAAATAACTTCATGATATCCCATACATTTTCCGTAAAATATCTAATGTTCTCATTTCTGCGACATAATAATTATTACAAAGTGATAGATAACTATAACTTGTTACCAAGTATTCATAATAGTATCCTAGAAATCCCGAAGTCTTAAATGGCGATACACAATAAGGCCAACACTGCAAAAATCCGTTACAAACTGAAAGTTTGGTTGGAAACTTGAAAACACCTGCGGTGTCCGTAAACAATAATTAAGTAAATGTATTGTGATGGAATATGTAAACATATATTAACTACGCAGTCAAGTGCGACATCGCATCAATTCCAATAATACATAATGTAAAAATATTTTAACATTTATAACTACATTTCTTCTACTTTTTTTTTTTACAATACGGGGGGCAAACGAGCATGCAGCTCACCTGATGGTAAGTGACTACCGCCGCCCATGATCACGCACAACACCGGCGGCATTGCAGGTGTGCTACCGGCCTTTTAAAAAGGAATATACTCTTTTCTTGAAGGTTATGTTGTCGTATCGGTTCGGAAATACTGCTGCTGGAAGTTCAAAGAATGGTTGTGCGTGGAAGAAAGTTCCTTGAAAAACGCACAGTGGAAGACCGCCACTCGTCCAGATGTATGGGATGAAACTTCGCGACTTCGTACGCGTGATAGGGATATGTTGACTTAGGATAAAAAATTGCTCGTTCTTTGTCCTAAATAGTACGAATTGGTATATAAAATTTTACAATTGATTAGACGTTAAGACGCCGAAAGGTAACTGACACGATACTAGCCATATCCCGCGGTTGGCCCTCATGAATCAATTCATAAAGTATCCTATATTCTAAGTAACGATATAGCGTATCCGTGTATCAAGTTTCATTCAAATTTGTTTAGTAGTTTACGAAAAATAACAAACTGAAACTGAATGGGTATCCATATAAGCATCCCCACAAGCTTTTCCTTATATAATAGTAGTAGGTTTAATAAGTATAGTGGATATACTGTGTCTCAAAAGAAAGGTGATATTTGTTTTGGTTATTGCGTGAACGCAATTATTCTGAAGGGCGGGGTGAGGGGGGTCATTTGGTAGCCTAACTTCTGGAAATTTAGTCGCTATGGAGTGTTTCTCGGGAGCGGACCATGCGTTGTGCGTACGCGAGTTTTACAAAAACGGTAGTTCAGCGACTGTAGCGCGTAGAAAATTTTGCAATATTCAACATTTAAATGACGCACCAAGCCCTAAACTCAATGATAAATGAGTCAAAAAGTTTTAAGAGACAATATATGGAAATATCAAAATCCGGACGTCCAAGGTCGAAAAAACAGTGTTTCTCAATCTGTTCGTGACAACCCAGACCTTTCGTTTCGGAAGCGTGCTGATGCTTTAAACGTGCATACGAGTAGATCGTCGTTGTTCCACATTTTATACAAAGATTTAAAGCTGCACCCCTACAAAATTCAAGTGCAAGAATTAAAGCCTCAGGATGCTGGGCAGAGGCTTGACTTCGTAAATCAGATGATTGAGCGCTTTTCAACGTTTACCAACATAGTCTTTTCGGATGAAGCTAATTTACAACTCAATGGACATGTAAACAAATAAAATTGCCAATACTGGAGTGCAACTAATCCAAAACACAAACATCAGAAACCCCTACATTCGCCTAAAGTGACGGTATGGGCTGCAATGTCGGCGCACGAGATTATAGGCCCTTACTTTTTTGAAGATGAAAGGAGACGCATAGTTACAGTAAACTCGGACCGTTATGTGGAAATGTTAGACAACTTCTTCGTACCTGAACTGCAAAACTTTCCGGGTTATAACCAAAGAACATGGTTCCAGCAGGACGGAGCAACTTCACACACGTCCAACAGGTCTTTACCACAAGTTCGTAAAATTTTTCCTGGCAAATTGATGTCCAGGAGGGGTGACATAAATTGGCCTCCACAAAGTCCCGATTTAACCCCTATGGACTTTTTCCTGTGGGGTTACGTCAAATCTAAAGTTTATGCCAACAAACCAACTTCCTTGGCACAATTAAAAGGAAATATCCGTCACGAAATGGCAGCCATCACGGACAATACATGCCGAGCCGTCATAGAAAATTTTAGAGCTCGATTAAATGAATGCCGTGAACGCAACGGTTTACACTTGGACGATATTATTTTCAAGAAATAAATTCCTAAAAAGTGTATTTTAATATGTATTAAACATTTTTATAATTGTTTAATTTTTTATTGATTTTTTAAACGTGAACTTTCTTTTGAGTCACCTTGTATTATAGTCCATATAAGATTTTTGTTCAGCCCACACAAGAATGTAATCATAATATCACGGAACTTAACGATATCTATATTATATCAAAGTAACCATAATAAAGTTAACATGTACCTATTTACTTAAGCAGTATCTAATCACTCAGTTCGCAAGTGTATTAATCGGCAACAGTATTATTTACTTGGCAACAAGCTTTTATTTACTGTACTAGATCTAATTTCCACTGAGATATTATTACTCATGAATTGCATGTTCTTTGGTGAGAACAGCAGTAGTAAAAATGTGAAAAATGATATCCATGCGTTCGTGTAACTGTACATAGCTGTTGCAATTGGTATAACATAAAGAGGCCCTTTTTACAAATTTTACCAAAGTTTTCTTAATAATGTTGTTTATATTTCCATATTGCAAATATATCTCCGTGTTGCGTCAAACTAGACTGACCTCGTCAATATCATTATGTTATAATAGAATATTTTTCCTTTATTGGGGAAACCGTGCCAATGATAAGACTATATAGGTAATGACGAGGAAAGGAAAATGAATAGTTTTGGAATCCTATTATGATTCATCCAAAGTAACAACTTTAGACTTATTCTAAATGTAGCTCGATTATGGACAATTAACTCAGTGACACAGTTGGAAGATAAAATTACAAACTTCAAGACTTTATTTTAATAGTGATGAAACATGACCTGTGTCAGATATAAGTGAAGGTTACTCGTTTATATAAGCAATTAATTATAAACTAATTTTTAACTATATATAACCTCTTGATTTGAATATGTTGTTTATAGTCGTTACTTAACAGCAGCTCATTAGTGGTTGTGAAGCTGCGGAGAATGAAACTGTATGTAGGTACTAAAAAAATATATGATTTGCTGCCAATTTTCTGTTCATTCTTGGAATGGCAATTTAAATCATTCTAAACAAGAGGTTTATTAGAGCGTAATTTAAACTAATGGTTCTAAATTAAATAGATACTAACCTCGGACGCAATGTTAGCTCCCATGAGCACTGCACAAGGAATTTTCAAACATCTTGTGATGATGTGAGAAATCAGATCAATGCCACCGCCTTCTGCGATATCGAAGCCCTGCATGATATATTTATATTTATCTAAGTATTAAAATCATGATTGAAGTATAACTATCACGTTAGAGGTAAAACAATTGCTGAAATTTTAAAGTAAAAATTGCCAAATACTTCAAATAAATTGTGAACAAAGTCAATAAATTTTACGTGATAATTTATCAATTAGCAAAATTGAACTCTGTGCCTCTCTTTTTGTGAACCATATATATCTTCATAGAAATTGACACAAAAGTTTATTGTGATAAAGGTAAATTTGATAGAGGTACATAATTATTACTTCACATAGTAGGTATTTTGATCCACAAAGAATATATTTTTCCAATGTTTTCACAATGATGTGGTTAGACACGACATAAATACCTTAATTAATGACAGCGCAGCGGCCGTAGGTTTAATTTTGCCAAGTAGAGTCGAACAAATTTTTCTAACGAACTGGTGAGGTACAACAAAGATGAGGATATCAGCATCTTTTGCAGCTTCCACCACATCAGGAACAGCAACCTGTACAAACGACAATTATATTAAGTAACTCTATTATAAGACGCAGAGAATGAATGGTGGACTGAATAGAGATTGGCGAACAGAAGAATCGTGATTAAACTATTTAATTTATTTTCAAACTTATATTTGAACAGGCTGTAACCGGAAACTCGCAGCTCGACTTGCATGAGTTTATTATGCCATGTTTAGACCTCAAATAGGTTAGATATGGTGTATCTACTATTACGTTAGTAAGTAAGAAACATTTATTTTATTATATATACATAACTCCTGCCTTGTTTTTTTTTATACCAGGAAGGTGGCAAACAAGCATACAGCCCGTCTCATAATAAACAGTTACTGTAGCCTATGGACCCCTATCACACCAAGGGTGTCATGTGCTAAAGAACCTTAATATTCACTTTTTGAATAACCCCATACTGTAGTCTTTAGGGAAAACCTCGACATGAAACCTTCCTTTGAAACCGTACTATACGTAACTATTTAGATACGGGGGAGAGGGATTGTTAGCAATGGAGTTTCACAGCCCCATTGCTAGCAATATGCCCCATTAGGTCGACTTCCACGTAGTTCCCCCTAGAAACCATCGTGAACAATTCTTGTTGAATTTGTCACGATGGGCTAACTGACCTGCTTCATCCTCACCTATCATCCTTCACTGGTGCCCCGCCGGTAATAATTTTAAGCAACACGTTAAAGAAGGGACTTTTTTTAAGGAAAATTTGGTTAGGAACTTTTTGATATCAATAAGTAGTGCATTCCAAAGGTTCACGGCTGAGATGGTAAAAGATGGAGAGGAGAAGTTTGATCGATGGGTAAGAAATATATAATAATAGATTAGAAATGGAGCGAAGAGAGCTCAAGAGTAGGTAGTACTTAAGAATTGGAATCTTTCTTTAAGAAACTGAGACAATTATGTGTCATAAACAATTGAAAAAAGACAACAAAGAAGTCTAACACTTCTGCGCAAGCGAATTGGAAGCCATTTATTATTTGATTATCAAGTATTGTGTACTCTTACAACGAAGCTTAATGAAGAATTTACTTATCCAAAATTTAGATCTAATCTACCTAATCATTAGCATCATATCAATCGTTAACTGTCCAGTACTGTACATAGACCTCCCAGATAGGGAGGGTTTTTCTAGTAGTTGCTACGCTTGGCAGACAATTTGGAAACTGTGGTTGGGCTTTGTTGATCATTTAAGAGGGAACTGCTACCCATCCCTCGACCATTAAGTTCCCTCAGTCACCTTTTACGACACCTTCGGGAAAGGAAAGATTCGTAAAAAGCGAATAAGGCCCATTCTATGCCGGGACCAAACGAAGGTCTATAAATATCTAATGTTACAAAGTAATGAAAAATTGGTAAATTTGGTTAATCAACCGAAGAAAACCTTTTGCAAGTCTCGAATAAATCTTTTCTGTTCTAAATTCGTAAATAAGTGTAATCTAAACAACTAAGTGTGAAGTAATATAGCACACAGGGTCTCGTGGAATCACAAGTTTTATCTCTACGAGAGATAAATATTTGCAACTGTAGGTGTAATGATAAATAGTTATACGATGTGACGCAAATTGTATCTACTTAGTTGTGGATCAACTAAATGAACCTTCATTGAACTTGCTCTATATCTATATTGTTGTTGTTGTTGATCTCTATCTATCTTCTTCAACATGACTATGTCATAATCTTTGTATTAGACACTTCATTTGTACCACATTATTAAATTTACGTTGTGTGTGTATATATATATATATATATATATATATATATATATATATATATATATATATATATATATATATATATATATATATATATAATTTTAGGATCGGTGTAATGTTTTTATCCATATTACCCAAGGTTTTGGCTTTTAGTTTTACGAACGGCCACCTGCTTTACGTCAACCCTCTTCGGGAAAGGTATCATATATATGTCAGGGTGAAATTAAAAAGTTATAGGCCATAGAACAAGAGCTTAAATATAGAATCATTATTTACGTTTAGATAAAAAAATGTTATTTGAACTCATAATAGATACAAAGGTGGTAAGCAGTTATAATTACATCACGCACAGATAATTACGCCACTTCTCTTATCTATTATTAAGATCGGTGTTTTTTTTTCATCAGCGATCATACCGATGTGTTTTACATCAACAACAACACGCACATTGCGTGATAAGTCAGTGATATGCACGCACTTACGGCCGCGCGGACTGTTCCTTAATTAGGGCATTTAACAAATTAACTAATACAGCTGAACAGCGCTACTATTAAATATAGATACATATTACACGTTGCAAATTTCAATCTTCAATCGGCCGCGGTATATTACCCAAAGACTTGGCCAATTTTGAACTGACACTGATAATTATTTTTAAAATTTGTGTGGTTTACTCTCATATTGATACTTTTCTTTTATCGTCATTCTTAAAGCACAGTCATTTGGAACAAAATACAGTCCACAAGATAGTTACATCACACAATGCAATTTATTCACATCCATGATATACTGATATACAATTCGCGAGATATTTGTATAAACAAATAGCTGATGAACTTGAAATTGCATATTTTATTGGTATTGAACAAGAATGTAATGGTTCAAAGACATTGGTGATTATACTTGTATATTGAAAAAGCAAATTGTGAAGACTAAAAAACCACTAAGGTTGAGGAATGAGCTCCCTGCCGAGGTTTTCCAAGGAGACTACAGCATGGGGTTCTTCAAAAGGGGGGTAAAAAGGTTTCTTCAGGTCGCACGCGTAATACCTCTGGTATTGCAGGTGTTCATAGGCTACGGTAACCACTTACCATCAGGTGGGCGGTATGCTTGTTTGCCACCTCAGTGGTATAAAAAAAAGCCTGAGAACTGAAGAAACATAGAAATAAGATCTAGGTCTTAATTTGAATTTCTAAGTGACGAAACAATCTATGGAATTCGTTCAAGGGCGTTTTAGCCTTTGTGGTACAAATAGACGTCATACATCATCTTCCTACCCTTATCCCAATTATTATTTGGGGTTGGCGTAATATAGTTTTATCCATATTACTAAAGGATTGGAAAACGTAGTGCAAATCTAATTTTTACACCTTAGTTAAGGTGTAAAAATTTGATAGATTAGATTCTGGATCCAATACAAAACTGTTTGATACAGCAACAAATCTGACACATTGCATCTTTATATAGTTTCCCTTTGAAATGGATATTACTCATGGATGAATAGGAATGAGATTATTATGTTTGATAATTACTTATATTTGATACTAGCGACCCGTCCCGGCTTCGCACGGGTGGACATTTTTACATTTTAAAAAGTGGCCATTAAGGCTGTACACGCGACGGAAGCTTAAAAATGGAGTAACTTCTCCCGTTTTCCCAACATTTCCCTTCACTGCTCTGCTCCTATTGATTGTAGCGCGATGGAAAGTATACTATAACCTGCCCAGAAGTATGAAGAATAATTGTACCAAGTTTCGTTAAAATCCGTCGAGTAGTTTTTATTTCTATAACGAACATACAAACAGACAAACAAAAATTTTACTAATTACCCCTGATAGTTATTTTGGAAATATATTTCATGTACAGAATTGACTTCTCTACAGATTTATTATAAGTATAGAAGATAGATGACAAATAACTTATATTTGATATGACAATTTAAATAAATAAAATTATTTTGGTGGTGTAGCGGTTTAACATATTACTCGTACTTCAATTGGTCGCGGGTTTGGTAAGTCGGACAATAAGCGATTGTATTTCTAATTATTCTATGATTTTTTTGTATATTTCATGAATATGTATTATTTACCCGACTAAGTTTTGCAGGGTTTATACCTATCTCCGCGTAAAATTTATTCAATAGAATTACACAAAATATTATTTACAAGTACGACTAAAGAAAAAATATAGCTACAATTTTTGTTTTATTGAGTTCCATACTTTATTAGACAGATATACACATTTATAATCGCTTTTCCCTTCATAAACATACATAGTACTAAAGCTGTTAGCATTGAATGAGGCGAGTTGAGTAGATACCTAAAGTCATTGGCAGTGGAACAACTCCCTTATAGAAGATAGATATAAATAGTTTCCACATATATGAAGAACTACAGCTGCACCTTGACCATTTATTATTTTCTCAGAGCTTCCTTATAAGTGTTTAAGTAATAAACTTCCAAATGATAATACAAGATTACGAAACAGCTATATCAACCGCGAAAAAATTAATATGCGGCAAACATAGTAGTAAACTTTATGTATTGCAAATAGTATTAACAAAATCAGTTCACATTTGGAATTGCCAAATGTCACATAACATACACATTTAAAAAAATATATAAGTTGTAATTATTGTAATGTATAACTAATAATAAAAAAAAATTAAATCATATAGTTTGAGATCTTACTGAATAAAAATAGATATAAAGAATATAATAAACATGGACAAATGACAACCACGTTTTTTAATTAGCTAAGTCAGTCTTAATTTTTTTAGCTAAAATTAATAAAAAATTATGCAGCAAATATATACCACTTTCCCTCAAGTTGTGTGGAAATATACTAATTTAAGAAATATAAAACTTCAATTCATATTAAGAATACAGTGCAATTAGTACGGATAAATATTATATACTTGAATACTTTTACCAAATAAAATCTTATTATAATTTTTCTACTAGTTTAAGATGAAGTTAAAATATATGGTATAAATGCAATTTTTTATTTCCATCCTCATGTTGTAGTTATCCACATTATTATTGCAGAAAAATAAAACCCTCTCCACACAAGTGGGACTTAACTTCCCTAGCAGGGAAGGGTAATATGGTAAATAGGGGTGTCCTGAGGGTAAAATAGTATGATATTGCACCATGATACAGTAAATTGTAATAACACCAAATTGTTATTATACAACACACCATTTTGCTTTTAATAAATACCATGTAACTTAAATGTGTAATTTATTACTATAAATATACTGGTGTAGATTTAAAAAAAAACATGCAATACTAGCACTTTAATTTAATTCAATGTTTTTATCTGTTATTTAAAAAATTAATAAAATTATAATTGTTTCATCATGTCAGAAATAAAAAAAAAACCCGCAATATCCATTATAATTCTTTTAATTTTTAACTTTTAATTACCTATTCTCTTCTCCATATATATATATATATATATATATATATATATATATATATATATATATATATATATATATATATATATATATATATATATATATATATATATATTGTGTATATATATATATATATATATATATATATATATATATATATATATGTATGTATATATATATTTATATTTATATATATATATATATATATATATATATATATATATATATGGAGAAACCACAGTAAACAGAATGAAAAAAAAAGTATATAAAACTGAAAACATTTTTTAACAGTATTAAAGTATTAAGAATTATATGTAAGAAAACACAATTATTAAATATCAATAAAATAAAACCTAAAGGCAGGAATATACTCAGATAAAGTAATTAGCTTTATATTCTATTCTATTGCAACTTCTATTTTTATTATTTTATGTGTTCACTTTTATTATATTTCTGTATTAAAAATAACAATATTTTTTAATCAAATAAAGTTAGAAGCATTTTTAAATAGTATTTTTTTATTAGTGTACCACCCCTTTGGAATGCAATTTCAGCTGAGAAAAACATGCAAGAAACTCAACTGTTGCTTTTTTGAACTAAAGTTGATTTTACAAACTATAAACTTGTGTTAATATAAATCAGAACAAAACTGTTTAAATTATCAGACAAAATAAATCCATTATTGTAAATATTATATTGAATTATGTGTCAAACAAAATGTATTCAGATATATGTCAGACTTCATTCATTAATCCCATGCATGACCATTTTGAGCCAGGCATGTTTATCTTATTAATTTTATAATCATTAAATACATGTAATAACATATAAGCCAGCAATTTTATTATTATTGCTAGCTTATCAATGACAGAATTATTGATAGAAACAATGCTAATAAAAAATGAGACTCTTTTTGTTAAAGCCAATAAAGAAGCCACTCCCTTTATCCATGCAACATTTTTATGTATTTCTAAAGCAATGATATAATTTTACTTACCACATTTGGTGGTAATTTGTGTCCTGGCAAATATTTGACATTTTCATGTGTTTCATTAATAATTTCTGTTAATTTCTTCCCTTCAATAATTTCCTCAAATACCCACATGGTAACACGGTCTTCAAAATTTGGTAGTCTGGCTGCATTTTTTCCAACAATTTTTGCGATTGCTGAACCCCTATATAAGAAAAATTATTATTGTCACATTCACAAAATAACATACTCAAATAGTTTTTATACATTAATATTTTAATTAAAACTAAAAATATACAAAGTTAAAAATAAATACTTAAATAATGAAAATCAATAAATAAGTAAAAATTATAACCTAACAAAAGTTTAAATTAAAAAAATTATTATCCTTCAAACAAATTTGCACATATGATGGGAAAGTCCTAGTCACCCCATTGTCAAACTTGTGAAACCATCTATGATGTACAACATATTCTATTAGAGTGTTGTATAAACACAAAGAAAAGAGATGAATTCATACACCACTTTAACTTAAATAAATTGAAAGTTAGTCTTATTCAATCTATATTAGCTGAACCCAAACCAGAAAATCTGTGTAAATTATTGATGCCCATTAATTCCTCTCTTTCCATGTCTAGGGAAAGTAGATAAAGCTTTATTGGAGAAATTAGTTCAGGGTACAATACGGCTAATATGCCAGAAGGTAAAAGCCCATAAAAATATTAAAAAATATATACATATGAATAATATAATATACAAATAATCAAGAATGAACATTAAATGGGTTCTACATTATGTACAGACACTGATGTAGGATTAGATGATTAAAAGCTAAATAGAAATTATTTCTCAAAAATCAATTAATGAAACCCAATAATCAATAGAAAATTAATAATAATCAGTGGGCAACTATCATAACTCTATAGAGGTTCCTTTAAGGCTACAATAAATAATGGAGGGACTCAATTAAAGGTATGTTATGTCATCGTCTTTGCTAAGGTCACACTATATAATGTATAAAGATCATCAAATTACATGCAAACAGAAACGACTGAGAAAAAGTTTAAAAAGAAAATCTTACCAATTTCCTGACCCAACGATGCAAACTCTATTTTTAGTTTGCCTTTCTGCCATTTTATACAAACTACAAGAAAATTTAGCAAATAATACTTTTAGGACGACGATTGAGTCGGCAAATGAAATTAATGAAAATTAGCGACTGAACAGGTGCTGATATGCTTAAGCGTTCATTGTGCTAGGTAACTGTAGCGCGAATGACTATCCTGTAGTATTCTGTAGCGATTTAATATAAGTACGTAGCGAATGTTGTTATCAATATCAACCCGGTTATCAATTCATAATATCAACACAAAAAGAGAAATAAGACAGTAATGCGATGTGTGCACAGACATGATTTTGACAGTGACACAAAGGGTTGACATCTATGTCAACTTGACAGAGGTCCATAGATCTCTCGCAACCATAGATTAGAGATATTGGGAGCTTAGAACCCTAAGAATTAAGAATTACATAGAAGGAATGATAAAATAATAAAGTTAAATCATATGGTTGCCTCCTTTCTTCTTATGTAAATATAATTAGTAAAAAGAGGACAAAAAATATACTGATAGATAGGACAAAAGATAGAAGATCTGTTTATGGCTTTGCTTTGGCTTATGGTCTGTCGCAGCTTGTTTCCTCACCTACGCGAATACCTGATATATTGGACCTTTCACCTTCACTGCTGGACCTTCTGCTGACCACCCACCAGTGGCGTAGCTACCTAGGGGTTAGGCGGGGCAGTGCCCCGGGGCCCTCAAGCTCAGGGGAGCCTCGAATCCTTACCAGAAATCTCAAAACTGAATTTTTGAATTTTTCCCATTTTCAAAATAAATATGACAGGTTGCAACCCCACTTTAATCATGACAACTCAGTTAAGAAAATTTAAAAATTATACCTAGGGAATTCCTCTAAATTCTTTCTATAGGTTGGCAGTGTTGTCCATTTAACGGATAGTGATATGTGTGTTTTATTATTCATCGATGTGCGTTTCTCTACATTTTTCGAAAATGTGTACGATAAATCTTCTTGACTTGGAAAACTTCACGAACAAAATATTAAGTGATAACGAAAAACGTCAAATTCTTGATATAAGACCTTTACAGCCTTCTGGGCCTTTTCTAACAGACATTAACCAGAACAATAGGTGTTTTACAAAATCGTATTACGTTTCGTGTTCTAAATATGGGCCAGTTAATAGTTTTTGGTTGTGTTATTCCAAAATACTAGATGCTGCCTATTGTCAACCCTGCTAGTTATTTGCTTCACAATGATTTGGTGTACGGGAATTCGAGATTGGAATCATTTATCAGAAAGAATTAAAAAAAATGGCATTCCTCCAATTGTGCTTAGGACGTGTGCGCCAGAGTTGGCTCCGGTTCTTATGCGTCTTTTTTGGCTCTGTTATCATCAGGTATAGTCCCAAAGTTTTAGAAGACTGCACTGGTACATCTGATCCCTAAAAAAGGAGACCGCTCAGATCCAGGTAACTAAGCCCATAGCTATCACTTCCTTATTCTCAAAAGTCATGGAATCAATCATTATCCATCAATTGCTCCAGTACCTAGAAGATCACCAGCTGATCTGTGATCCCCAGTACGGCTATCGACAAGGACGCTCGGCTAGTGATATCTTTTGGTTTATTTAACACACCGATGGGCAGTGGCAATCAGCAGCAGCAGCAGGGTTCATCCGCAGCCCTTTACGAGGCTGCAGGTGCGGGCCTCGAGCTAGGGTTCTTTGCCCGGGCAGTCTGCACAGGCTGTCGCCTGCGCGTCACTACATTTTTTTTTCACGTCGTCAACCGTTCAGGGCCGGTTGAACCGTCGCCCTGCGTGGTGCCTGCTGTGCGCAGGAGATCTTGCGGCAACGCGCGCGTGGCGTCCGGTGGACGCGCGTGTAAAGGGGCAAGGTCCCTGAGATGGGGGTGGACGCTATTATCCGCCCGGCTGAACATAACGCGTGCCAGCCGGCGGACAAACTCGTCCACGCTAGGGACCGCGAGGTCTCGGGCGATTACGTCATTTCTGACGTAACGAGCTGCGTCTGCGCACAGTCGCAAGGCACAGTTCTGCTGAACCTGTAGGCGCCGCCTCTGTCATCAGAGCACAGTGCGTACCAAGCGGGGGAGGCATACGTCAGCTGCGAACGAATATAAGCTTTGTAAATACCTACTTTCGTCCGCAGCGACAAGTTGGAATGTAGGACCGGTCGTAGCATGCCGCGTGCGGCCTTTGCCTGTGTGACCGCGCGTGTAACGTGCGCGGTCATATGCAACGACTGGTCGATCTCAACCCCTAGGTAGCGCACTGTGCGCTCCCATGAGATGGGCGTGCCACGGAGGTTGAGAGGCGGCGGATAGTGGGTTCTGCAACGAGTGGCGAGCGCCACCGTCTTTCCCACATTGACGGCGGTGCGCCACTTGTCGAGCCACTCGGGCAGGAGGTTCAGCAGCCGCTGCATCTTACGTGCGGCGGCAACGACACTGGTCGACGACGTGAAATAAGCACTGTCGTCGGCGAAAAGGGCGAGACGACATCGCGCTCTCCCTCGAGGAGCTCATCCCTCAAGGTGGGAGTGGCAATCGAGAATAAGGGAGAGGCCTGAGCTGTTAGTCTGACTATTGCGAAAGCCTTTGATCGAGTGTTGCATAAAGCGTTAATTTCAAAACCTAAAAATACCTCCAAGTACGCAAGTTACTCCCTATCTTAATAATGCCAAAATACTTAAAATGGGTGCAAGAAGACAGTTGCATTTTGCTGCGTTGTTATTTGGTATAATAAAGCATGGAAAACCGTCATATCTGGCTGAAAAACTAATATGCCCCCGCGACGTTCGGGTCAATGCGTCTCGTGCCTGTGGCCATCCGCTTATTACTCCACGCTACCACAGTACTGCCTTTCGTGGCAGCTTTAAATACACTGCTTCTAAGTGTTGGAACAACTTGCCTCCCTATGTACGTAATCTCCAATCGTTGAACTCCTTCAAATATAAAAATAAAATGATATTATTAAAGAAATAAATGTCATAATAACAATTACCTTTTGCGAGCTACACTTTCCTTTTCTTCTTAAAGCCATATGACTTACAACTTGCAGGGATAGGTGCTGTGAACTATAAGCCACTACTTGTATCCTTCTCATGTGATTCATCGTTGGATCTATTTCTAATCTATATTTCTTATCTTTATTCCCGTGTCTATCTTATATATTTATCACTGTTTTATATATTATTCTTATATATTTATACATAACATCTTTTGCACACATGTATCCGTGAGTAACGTATTTAGGGCCTACTGAAAATTAGTGTCGTAGCTTCAGATTTGAAACTGCGACATATGCTGAGTTAGGTCCTTTGCACAAATACTGCTACAATCATTTTATTTTTTATATATTTTTCTTTTTATTCGAAATTCAAGTAAAATAGTGATGTTATGTTTAATCTTCATTATTATGTTGTTTTGTAATATGTAACATGTATAATTTATATTACTTTTCTTAAAGAGTTATTGTATCTAATTAATGATATTATTTAAATGAAAAGTTTGTTTAGTGTATATGTAAATAAATAAATAAAAACTATCTTCGTTTAGGTTGCCTGCGACATTATGCAGTTGGGTCGCCAGTTTTCTCAAGGATCGTAGCATTAAGGTCGTAGTCGACGGAGCATGCTCTGACTTAAATCCTGTGAATGTTGGGACACCAACATTCACAGGATTAAACGAAGGTAGTTTTTATGCAAGGCTAAGTACTATCTCCAACACTGTTTATTTTGCATATTAATGATATGTGACAGATCAGTAATATTCATTGCTATGCAGACGACAGTACAGGAAATGCATTATACACCGGTCATGCAAAGATCTTCCGGGTACATACCGATAAGCTCTGGAACAGACTTGTGTCTGAAAACGAAACTTCACTCGATCAAATTTCGATCTGAGGCGAACGCAATTTTGTACACTTCAACCCTAAGAAGACAAAAATCTGCGCATTCACCGCAAAAAGACGCCGTTTGTCATATCTCCTCACTTTCAGAGCACTTCCCTCGATAATAAATCGAGCCTGGGGATTTTTGGCGTCGATATATCTAGCGACGTTCAGTTTTGCGGTCATCTGGAAGTAAAAGCTAAAATAGCTTCCAAAAAGTAGGGGTTGCTTAATAGGGTGAGACGATATTTCACGCCGGAACACCGCCTGAAACTGTATAAACCTCAAGTCAGGCCGCATATGGAATACTGTTCTCACCTGTGGGCAGGAGCGCCACAGTACCAACTCCTTCCGTTAGACCGCATTCAAAGTCGGGCGGCTCGAATTATCGATAGTCAACGCCTTACTGTCCGACTTGACCCATTGAAACTGCGCAGAGATGTTGCGTCTCTGTGCATCTTCTCTCGAATTTATCATGAGAGGTGTTCTGAGGAATTGTTCGGATTGATACCTGCTGCTGATTTTCACCGTACAACTCGCCACAAACTAAAGTTTCATCCAATCATCTGACGAGTGGCGGTCCTCCACCGTGCGTTATTCAAGGCACTTTCTTCCACGCACAACCACTCTTTGGAATCAACTTCCAGCAGTAGTGTTTCCGAACCTATACGACAAGTTTAAATTTTGTCATTGATAAATAATCGACATCTTAAACATTTTGTATACACTAGCCTGCTATGGATTGTGCAAAATAACAACTGATAGTGTATCTTTCGTCCTCTTTTTACTAATTATATTTGCATAAGAAGAAAGGAAGCAATCATTAGATTTACAGTTTTTATTTTATCATTCCTTCTATGTAGTTCCCTGTTCTTAGTATGGCTCAGAGCATGCCAAAGACATTGGGGCCGATTCTAAGACAGGATTTCCTAAACTTATCTCTTAACCTTAAATTTTAATTAAATAATTTCACATAATGACTGTTTTATGGACCGTCTTAAACTAAATTTATAATAATTTCCACTTAGAAATTTTGTTTATATTGATCCTTAGAGTAAAGATTTTGCTGTGATATCAAATTAATATTAAAATTTTAGAAATAGGTTTAGATAAATGGCGCTTCAGAATCGACCTCATTGAATCTAAAATGGAGTGATTATTCTGTGGTGATAAACTTTTTGATAGGATCTATATCCATGTTGCTCTGTACGTAGAAGGTTCCAGAAATTGCACGTAAATTCAAAATTACTCATTCGTTTGCTTCGTTCTTGTTCGTAGTTTAATTTCGTCCGTCATTCGTTTGTATTGTGGATATCTTCCCCAATCGCTTGTAGGTAGTCTTTACCTACCCAATTATTTGGCCATTTCTGAATGTACTAGTGATTATAGAGTGATTCGTGGTTATTGAATATTTCGCGTTTCTTTTACAAACGATTTTAAGTGAGTATAACAATTAAATTCTATCGACATATATGTTTTCTAATCAATAATGGTCTAGAATCCTGTTTGTGTCACACATCAAAGTAAACCTCCACGCGTTATAACAAAGGTCCTTTTATTCCTAAGACACAGGTATTAAATTTAATGACAAGGGTCGTTAATAAATGAAAAATTTATTATTTTTTTTATATAAATCTCTGACGTAGATACAACATTGTTCTATTTAGTAGAAAAAATATGAAACAGGTGATAATTGGAACAATTAGTCGAATTATTGTTTGGGAAATACATCTTTTCGTCTTATTTTTTCTAGTTGTCTCAGGATGAAATCCTTTTTAATAACGTCACTGTGAATATTCATTACACTTGTACACCTTAACCTTACCAGAACTTTCTAGTGGTCTGCTGTATAACCTCTAATATTTGCAACATAAATTAACGTGGATTTGGTTCCTACCTAATATACTATTCTTAATGGACATCTTTGGGTGTTTAGAATTCATCATCATTGTTTTCAATCTCTATTGATACCTTCCCTTTTTTACGGTATCAATTTATTTATTTAACACTTTATTGCACCAACATAACAGGATTTGTTGAACAATTTTCAATACATATAGTGTAGTACAAAAGTCGGTCTTATTGCTAAGCAATCTCTTCCAGACAATTTTATGAGTAGTAATTGTTGTTTTACATACATACATACATATCTGTCCGTCTCCCATTAGGGTAGGGCCTTTGGGTAGAAGGAATTAAAGCATCAAGGTGTCAAGGTTGTTTATTTGTATGTGGAGTTGGCTAAAAAAACAATTATTTTATGAGTAGTAATTGTTGTTTTATATTTACTAATTATAATTTTAATTGTTTTTAAAATATTCATCACCAATTGTGGTGGGAGCTGATTATTTCATCATCTAGCAAAAGAAATTTTCACAAATCTTTCACATTATACATTAAGAAAAAAGTTTAGGAGTTACTAGATTTCATAATTAGTATTATGTTTCAATGGTGACACCTAACAGTGGAATATATAAAATAGGTGAAGGCCTTTTAATTTATTTATTTCAAATGTAATAGAATGTAATTAAGTATTTTCCTAAATCCCATCAATGGTAATAATAGAATAGGTAGAATATTAAATTTTATATTAATGGGTGAAAATGGAATAGTAATCTGTACTATTGTTATACTGGTTCCCCTTCAGTGTATACCAATAGCAGGACACCAGTGAAAAATGATAGGTGAGTATGATAACAGGTTATTTGTTCCATTGCAATAAATAAAAAAAAAAAAAAAAAACTATTATGGTTTCTAGGGGAGTGTGTGAAGGTTGATCTGATGGGGTACAGTATATTCTTGGTAAAGTGGCTATTTTTTAAATTGATTATAATAGTGGTATGGTATCTGCATTATCAGTATATACTGGTGGGGTACCTGTGAATGATGATAGATGAGAGTGAAAAGGCAGGTCAGTTAGATCATTGTGATGAATACACCTGAAAGTCAGCATGATGGTTTACAGGGGGGACCATGTGGAGGTTGACCTGACCAGGTATATTGCTAGCAATGTGAGTCTGCATTACTAACAGTGTCCCCCCCCCCCCCCCCTTCGTAATGGAACTGTAAGGCCTCATTACAGAAAATTCTATGATATTTTAGGGATCTATATTAAAAAAAAAAAAGCTTAAAAGAATACCTGTTGTACTGCTATGATGCTATATTTTATCATGAGGGTAGGCTTTAAATAAATTAACCAATTGAAAAAGTATTTTTATTTTCTTGGCTAGATGGTCTAAAATGTGTTCTTAAATTTCAAAATTATTGTTTTATATTTAATGAATTTACATGTTAAAAATGTTTTTAAAATATTCATCATCAATTGTGGTTATCTACACACATCCTCTCATTTAAGATTTATCTAAAGGAAAAATTTGAAATTTTTACACAACATCTTTCAAGTCTAATATAAAAAAAAAACAATATTGCAAATATAAATGTATAATTTCTAGCATTACAGCAAAAATTCTTTTTACTGTTAAATACCCAAAAAATTACTGCCTTGTTAATATATAATCTAATAGAGTCATAAGCTTATTTAATTTAATATATCTCAAAAAATGTAATAACATAAAAATTTTTGAAATTTTTGTATTTTCAACAGGCTGTATTTCATGAAAAATAATCGTAATAATAAAAAAAGGGTTTTGAGGTAAAATATTAAATTTTATATTTTTGGGTGAAAAAATTTTTTGAGCTCCAGTAACCTTCTTAAACAAAGCTGAAAATAATTTTTTTCTTCAATTTTCTAGTGTATACCAATAGCATGGAAAAATTTTTTCGAAAAATGATATAAGTCTCTTAGTGTTTATTCAGGTTAAAAATTTGTTCCATTCCGAGAATCGAATAAAAAAAGCAATTCAACTGCTAATATCTCTGGAACTACTAGGGGAGTGTGTGAAGGTTGATCTTTATCTGCATAAAATTTCCATTAAGCACAATCAAGAGTTAGTGAAGAAAAAAATTTTTTTCTAACATTGATTAAAAAAGTGGAAAAAAGTGACTTTTTCTCATTTTTTGGTATATACTTGGCTATATCTTCGTGAATGGGCGATAGATGAGAGTGAAAATTTTACAGTCTATTGTTCAGTTAAAGAACCCCCTATCCCTGTGATGATCGGTTCAACGGTTTTTCCCGGATCAATTGATTGAAATTTTGGAAAAAATAAGGGAACAAGGTTTTTGTCCCTTAAACTCACCCTAATCCATTCAAAAATCAATAATTTCATTTGTTTTTCACTTTTTACTCAATTTTTTGTTTTTTAAAAATTCATTATCAAAAAAAAAATCGAAAAAAATCAAGAAAATTTTTAAGAAAAATTTTTTTGAAAAGTCGAAAAAAGTTTACAAAAAATTTTTTTTTCGTTTTTAGGGAAATCAAAGTTTTTGACAAAAAAATGATCGATTTACCGCCGGCATTAGCGTTACCCAAAGCATACCACGTGGAGGTTGCACGGTCGGATTTACGCTTCTTTTATGCTTACGCACGTAAATCCGTTTCAAATAAAAAAAGTTTTTGTCAAAAACTTTGATTTCCTTAAAATCGAAAAAAAATTTTTTGTAAACTTATTTCGACTTTTCAAAAAAAATTTTTCTTAAAAATTTTCTTGATTTTTTTCTATTTTTTTTTTGATAATGAATTTTTAAAAAACAAAAAATTGAGTAAAAAGTGAAAAACAAATGAAATTATTGATTTTTGAATGGATTAGGGTGAGTTTAAGGGACAAAAACCTTGTTATCTTATTTTTTCACACAATCAATTGGTCAAAAACCGTTGAAGATCGCTCCAGGGATTTATCTAAAATAGACTGTAAAATTTTCCTCAAACCTTAGCTTTCCCGCCCATATTAGCGAAGATACTAATATAAAAAAAAAAAAAAGTCACTTTTTTCCACTTTTTTCAATTCAATGTTATAAAAAAAATGTTTTTCTTCACTAACTTTGATTGTGCTTAATTGGAAATTTTATGCAGATAAAGAAACTCTTTTTTGCTGTGCGACCAGTAGTTCCAGAGATATTAGCAGTTGAATGGAAAAGGATGCTTTGCATTCAAAGTTCGATATCTCGCACAAATGGTCGTAACTGAGCCATCCAAAGCGATTTTTGAAGCTGAATAAACACGCTAAGAGACCTATACAATGGAGTAGCTCGAAAAAAATTTTCCATGCCCATAGAGTGAAAAACGAAACCTAGAAAATTTAGAAAAAAATTATTTTCAGCTTTGTTTAAGAATTGCATGGAAACCGGAGCTCAAAAAATTTTTTCACCAAAAAATCTGAAAACTAGAGTTTTCAAGCTTCAAAACCCTTTTTTTAAATTTCCTGTACGATTATGTTTCACTGAAATACAGCCTGTTGAAAATCACCCAAAAATTTCAAAAATTTTTATGTTCCCTTAATTTTTGCGAGGAGTGTAATAAAATTGTAAGTACAGTGGATTTCAGGTATAATGACGATGAAGGGACCACTCTATTTTCGTGGTTATATACCGGAAGTTGTTTTAGGCAAAAGTAAGAGATATAGACATGTACACATAGTTTTTACACCCGAACTCGTCGTTACATCCAAAGTCACTATAGCCACATGAATTTTGTACTAAAATATGCTTTAAATTCAAGGGACTTAGATTTAACGTCGCTGTAGGCAAATGGTCGCTACAACCAAGGTTGTAATAAATGAAATCAACTGTAGATGATGTCTGCACATAGGATATTTATGAAAAAAATTATATGAGAATAATTTGAAGAATTTTTGTTTTTCTGTCTGCATGCTTGTTGCAGCATAAGAAATAATTACAGCATCCAATTGTGATATTCGCTTATTACGTATATTTACATGATATTTTTTACAAAAACAATGTGCAAAAACTAGTATTAATACATAAATACACAGAATGATCTGTGAATCATGATCTGCATTTACACTGATTTCTGACATTGCTCAATCAATTTTAATAAAACACAAATATAATATTATACTTCTCATTAATATTTACTGTATTTGTTATTTCTCTTTTTACTTGGTGCAATAAAGTGTAAATAAATAAATATTGTTTGTTCCAACTTGAGAAATAGAATACTTTCTATCCTAAAAAAAAATGAGCCTAGTATGCGATGATAGATTGCAAAACACATTTACTAGGCCAGCTAGTTAGAATATTATAAATTATCATTGATGTTCTAAAGACTTAGTATAGGATATGGGATGTAGTGGGAATATGTAGTAAAAACCTTCTACTATGGAAGGAATCATTGATTTAAAGAACTGGTGTGTTTGCATGAGATGAATTATGGAAGTATATAGAGATGCTTGCAAAGATCAATCTTTCATAATCTGTTCTTTTTTTCTAACTGAACTTGGCTGGAATATGGAAGTAATAATATTTTTTGAACAGGTGAAAAACATGGTGAAAGAAACTACCTACTATGACATTCTTGGGGTCAAACCCAATTGTACAACAGATGAACTGAAGAAACAGTACAGAAAATTGGCTCTTAAGTATCATCCTGATAAAAATCCAAATGAAGGAGAAAGGTTTAAACAAATCTCACAGGCATATGAGGTTCTATCCAATCCAGACAAAAGACGAATCTATGATCAAGGTATTTTTTGCACTTTTTTTTGCTAGATGTGTTATAACATGGATATTTTATGCATCAATTTAGAATTTAAAAGTAAAACTGAAAAGGAACTTTTTTTAATAGATATTGCAATTTTTAATATTTACTTCATGCATATTTTTTTTATTAAGATTTTTGTTCATATGCTTATATTTGTCTGGTTGAAACTTAATTTCCAGATTCTTTTCCCCATGTAGATTAAGACCTCGAAGTTAAATTACCCCCTAACAAACATCTCTGACTACCTCACAAAGGATTGTAATTGTGAACATATTTTTTATTTTTAGGTGGAGAGCAAGCATTGAAAGAAGGTGGAGCTGGAGGCAGTGGTTTCTCTTCGCCTATGGATTTGTTTGACATGTTCTTTGGCGGTGGCTTTAGCGGCGGCCGCCGGCGGGGACGCGAACGGAAAGGCAAGGATGTCATTCACCAGTTATCGGTGACACTCGAGGAATTATATCGTGGTGCTGTCAGGAAACTAGCATTACAGAAGAATGTAATTTGTGATAAATGTGAGGGCCGTGGCGGCAAGAAGGTATGATATTTAGAAATGTTAAAGAAATGTAATAAAAAAAGTAACTTAAAAGGACATTTCTTTTTCCCTTATAAAATCTAATCCACAATACACACTAGCAATGAATGGCAAATGTAATTTTTATCGTGCATGTACGTGATATCTTTTACAATTCGACTTTAATTATTATTGGCAATTTGTAAATTTGGCTCCCATGTTAGTCATTATATTAATTTGCCTAATTAAAGTTCCCAATTCTTTTTAATACATCCTAGTACTATTAGTGTGTTTAATGTTTTTATATTTTTTTCCTCTCATAATTTATATTTATTAAAATTTTAGGGTGCAGTTCAAACTTGTCCTACATGCCGTGGTAGCGGAATGCAAGTGCAAATCCAACAACTTGCACCTGGTATGATTCAACAAATTCAAACTGTATGTAGTGAATGTCGTGGACAAAGAGAAATAATTGATCCCAAGGATCGATGCAAAGTATGCCAGGTAATATTTGTGTTCTCAAGAATATTTATTCTTTCATAGTAATTGGTTTTAAATAATAGAAATGCCATATTATAGCTGCAAAAAATTAACTTAAAAATTAGTATGTCATATTATAACTGCAGGAAATAAACTTAAAACTTATTATTGAAATATATTTATATATCAATGCAACTTTTAATGGCACAGTTTAATGGAGTTAAGCAGTTGTCTGTCGATTTCAACAATAACAATCTTAAAATACAATGTGATGTATATGTTATACAAATAGTTTGTTCATATTTTTTACCACAACTTATATGTGAATAATCATAATTAATCAATTATATATTTTAGTTGTACCTTATAAATAAATATTCTTTTCTTTTTCACAATTTACTACTAATAGTTATAATTAGATGAATTAACTTTATATAAAGTCAACATTCAGTATGTAGCACTAAAAACTTTGCTGAACTAATATTGTAGCATCTTTAATACTTAACTATGTATATAAAAAGGCTAACATTGCGATTGTTGATACAACTATAACTGATCACTATATGACTTGCTTAAAAATATCTGACCTATTTTATAATAATAAATTTATTAAAACTAAAAAAATCTAAAGTATATTATCATCGCAGCAATTCAGCTTTAGACAGGGGCTTTCTACTGAGGACGCAGCTTCGACATTTGTTGCTAAAATTACGAGATTGATAAAGGAAATAAGTGTTTAACTGTTTTCCTTAATATCAAAAAAGCCTTTGACACTGTTTCCGTTTACAAACTTCTGTACAGACTTGAGGGTATAGGTGTAAGAGAAATACCTCTTAAACTTTTAAAGACTACCTATGTGAATGGAAACAAAGGGAGAGGAGATGGCCAACTAACTCCTATAACTTATATTATTAATATAGTTTTATAACCTATTTCAAACAGATGTTTAAACTGATCGAAATGTACAAATGAATTTGTATTATACTGTAATTTCCAGTGCCGAGTTTGTTACAATCATGGTTATGCAATAAAATTATTATTATTATTATTCATATGTCACATTTTCTTAAAACTAAAAAATACATTATTAAAATCAATTATGAATAATGTTTTACAGTTTCGGCTCCCCACAATGGGTCATAGATTCCTCAACACTACAATGTCTTAATAAGCCTACACACACTTTATTTTGAACGTCACCAAACTGTGGGCAGTGGCATCACATGACTCAGCTTAGAGGATTTTGTCAATGCGTAGTATAGCCACTAGTTTGTTTGTATTACACATGTGATATTTTGGTACAGTGGTTTCTACCTGCGATTTCGACGACGTGACTGGGTTGTATTCATTGACCGGAATAAAAAGTGGCCTATGTCTGTCCTCCTCCCAAATAATATATTTATACGAAAATTCATGATGATTGATTAAATAATTAAAATGTCTTGGCATTGACAAAAGAACAAACAGATTCATTATCACATTTATTATATTAGTAATTATCTTCATGATTTGTGTACTGGTTCATTCATAAGTTCATCGCATATTTGTCTTTAGTTTTAAATATCAAAATTTTAAATTGACAATAACGAATTGATGTCATCATCAGTTGGAATGATTTTTTGTGATTTTATCACAAAAACAATGAGGGGTAGTAACCCCTCATTGTAATAAAATAACAAAATAAAACTGTTTATGATTTCAGGGTCGTAAGACAATACGTGATCGCAAGATTTTGGAAGTGCATGTTGATAAAGGTATGACTGATGGTCAGAAGATTGTTTTTGGTGGAGAGGGTGATCAGGAGCCAGATTTGGAGCCAGGCGATCTCATCATTGTGCTAGATGAAAAGGAACATGATGTGAGTTTACATTTATAATTTCTCATCATTTCATAAAGATTGTTAGTAATAATATAATTATATTATTCTACTGGTACTGAATTATATGATTAGAAAGGTTATGAATAATAATTTAGAACAAGATGAATTGGTAATGAAATAGTGAATGTTTCATTTCAGACATTCAAACGATCTGGAGATGATCTCATTATACGATTAAATATAGAGTTGGTGGAAGCACTATGTGGCTATCAAAAAGTGATCAGAACATTAGATGATAGAGATATAGTAATAACAGTTATGCCGGGAGAAGTCACCAAACATGGTGATGTGAAGTGTGTACTAAATGAAGGTATGTTTTTGGAAAATTCTTTTTCATATTTTTTTCTTCTTTATTTCTAAATTTTTTATGGACTCGACTTTGTTTTATTGTTTTAATGGGTGATAATGGGATAGTAACACTCCCCTTGCGCTATCAGTATACTTTTATGAGGCACCAGTAAGAAATGACGAGGAAGTACATCTGTTAACTCATCATGATGAATTCTATAAGAATTAACCATGTTGTTTTCCAGAGGGAACTGCATGAAGTATGACCTGATATGGTTACTAATGGTTCTATCAGATCCCCATTACTAGCAGTTTTTTTCCTTCCCCTTCACACTTTGGAGTCGCCTTTACCACAATTAAAATTAGTGCTAGCATTATAGTAACAGCAATAGTGTTAACTATATATATATTTATATACCCGAAATAATAGCTATATAATTGAATAGTAGGTTATTTAACTATTTACATATTTGCTACTCAAAATTGACAGATATGGATTATTCTTGGAGTGAATTTGAGCTTAGGATGAAGACTAAAATAATGCTTTAGATTATTTACTTAATACATTTGTGCCTATATGCCATAATATAAAATACAATAAAAAAATCTTTGCAGGAATGCCTATGTATAAAAATCCGTTTGAAAAAGGCCAACTAATTATACAATTCCTAGTTAATTTCCCTGAAAGTATTCCACATGAAGTAATTCCTGCATTGGAGAATTGTCTGCCACCTCGACCAAGGGTAAGCTTTGTTATTATAAAATAAGGCATATAATTAAGGTGGAAAGAATTTTAACTATTTGTCATTTATGTAGTGTAAATTAAAAATAAAATCTTGCGCAAAAAAGTTTAAAGTTGGATTACTTTATAAAAGGAACAATTAATGATAGCTCTGCAAAAAACGACTTCTCGACACACACAAAATGTTTAAAAAGTCGTTTTAAATTGTAATTATTTTTACTTTGAATTGTTTTCTTTGAAAGTCACATAATAATATGAGTATATTAAATATAAAATTGATCTTATAGATCACTTGTAGGTAAGTAAATTCGGTCCATTTGCGCATAATTATGAATCTGTTTGATTATCGAACGCCACTGCATATTATGTAATAAAGTAATCCGAGTCTTTATCACGTAACAAAATCAAAGATGATAACATATAAAACACGATAATACATACGTTCTACTTAATCGAATTAGTTTTCAATTTGAAATTGAGGTCCTAATTTGGTTATTTTTGTTTTGTTTGTTACCTCATAACTCTGTCTGTTATAAACCAGTTTGGAAAATTCTTACAGATTGGCTCCATAGAAATTTTGTCAAAATTGATACAGTAGTTTAGTTTTTAAGTGAAAATAACTTGTTTTGCGAAAATTGAAGACTACTTTTTGTGGAACATAATCTTAAATTATTTAATGTTGACTAATTGTATCTCAGAATAAATACAGTAAAGTTTATTTTTATATATTTAAAGGTGGAAATACCGGAATTGGCTGAAGAGTGTCATTTGATGGACTTGGATCCTGACCAAGAAAACAGAAGAAGGCGAGCAAATCACGGCAATGCTTATGATGAACAGCCAGGCATGGAGCGGGTACATTGCGCTACAAGCTAAATGAGTCATAGAAACTTTGCTGATGGATCTAATCCATTAATCACTCTGTTAAATAGCAGTATAGTTCATAATATCGGATATTTATAGTGTGCATGAAGAGGTAACGGATGCATAATGTTAGGCTTTTATGTTAAGTTACTTAAAATAATTGATTCATTTAGAGTTTAGACCTTTTACAATCTTGAAATGGTAAGCTAAGTCTACCTGCTCAAGATATAAATTTCAGTCTTAGTAATCACTATCCGACTCTTAAAGTCCATTTAAATTTGATATCACAAAAACAATTCTCCTTTCATTTTTTCTTAACTTAACATAATTATTTTTCGTAGGTATTTGTATATATGTTTCTCTGTATATATTTTCTATGCGATGTAAAAGGTAGATGTGAATATTTTTTATATTGAGTTCAGATAATGTAAATAATTTTTACATCTATCTAATGATACAAAGTAGAAATTTATTATCTAAACCATTGATAATTTGATTTAAATAATTTTTTTCTACATACAATGTTTTTTATTTCTCACAACGGGTGTGGTATTAGCTGGGAATCACAAACATTTAGTAGTATCTTTTTTTTTTGAGATGAATAATAATTAAATATACTCAGAAATCAGAATAACAGAGGTTTTCACCAATTGTTGGTGGCGGAGGCATCTTGTGTTTGCCCGTTATGCAGTTTTATCTTGCAAAATTCCATAATAATTACAGTAATTTCAATATTTTCCTAAAATATTAATATAAAAAATGATAAAGAAAATATTGAAATTGTTGCATAGTAGACTGCCAACTTTTTAATCACATGAAATATCTGTTATACTAACGTACAGCATACATATGACTACACTGACCGTCATAACAGACCTAGGTACAGATTGTTATAATTAACAATTAATATACTAACCTATTTATGTAACCTAACGGCAGTTTTTGGAATGAATTTCAAATGCAAATTATCATGTGAAATTTGACTAAATATATTAGGTACAGTGGAGAGTCGATTATGTGGATTAATTATCCAGATTGTCAACAGGGAGTAATGTTTAAGTAAAACAAATCAATATTTTATGTTATTGGGGTTTTGAACACTCATACATACATACATACATATCTGTCACGCCTGTTTCCCACAGAAACAATGGAACGCCAAATCAAACAAACCTCTTTCGCTTCTTCCACATTCATCAATCTTGTCATACACGCTCGTCGGTTACGGGTACTTTTAATTTGGCCCTTCTTCAGCACGTCGCCTATTTGGTCGACATACGTCCGTCTAGGGCGGCCCTTACCGACATCTCCATTGAACACTCATCAAGAATTATAATGCCAACAGACATAAGAAATAACCATTTGCGATCGACAAATTATCTTTACGACAATAATAAGTACCGTAAGATTATATCAATCGCCTGGTCCTCAAATTAGGATACCCTGTGATACATAGTCCAATTAATAGAATCTCCACTTTTATACAATTTATATAAATTATACATCCAGTCTAAAACTTTGATATTTTTCCAAATCTTACTATTCTGATTTCTAGTATACATTATGACAGGCACTTGTGTCATTGTTAAAAATATATTCTTTTCGAATCCTTCGTTGCATTCGTACATGTCTCCTCGATAGTCTGCGGCTTTGCGTAAACGGGTCTAACTCATAGGTTTATTTATAAAACTATATCATAACGCGCAGTCTCGCTCTACAACAAGCGTAAAACGTCTCTCTTCGTAAACGAATCCTAAAACTTGAATCACAGAATATCTATTAGTACTTAACATATTTCGCTGCTGTCCTTCACTTTTTGCAACAATATATATCAAGATTTGAAAAGACAATATTTTTGACAAGTGTACGTTCCTGAATGAAAAATAATTGTATTATAATAAGTTAGACATTGCACGTAGAGTTATAAATGCACGGGTACACACATGGATCACACATTTACTATTAAAAAATAAAATCTATTGCTTGGTTCATTGACTTTGGCAAAAATGAGAACTAATAATTACTATAATTTCTATTTTTTTTTTTCTGAAAATGTATGTATTACAGTGCATCTTGCATTATCACAGAATATTTTAAATTTTGTAATACATTGTTTTAAAGTAGCTCCATCGATGTTATATACGAACTATATTGCTCTACTCCATTGAGCACTGATACACTTATCTTAAATTCTGCTTCTGTGCCTACCTATTTAATAAAGTGGACATGCCCACAATACATTGCATCAGTATATCTATTTCTGGTTTTAATTTTCAGCTGAATTTATTAATGTTAAATTGTGTTTTTTATATATAGAGATACCAAAACCTGTCAGTTTAATTTTTTTATTAACTCTACGGAAATGAAAAACTCCGATATTAAACCAAATTGAGTGTCAGCGGTAGGCTCGTCCTCTGTTACATTACATCATAACGTGCTCGGCGAAATATAAACATGTCGATAATTACGATTACCACAAAGGCAACAGTCAATAAAGCCTGTGACCATCCCAGTGGGGATTGTAAATATGATTTATTTTCTTTCTGTACACTAAATGCGATAGCAGTCAAATTCCAGGTACACTTGAGAATAAATGTAGGCTAAACTCATTTGATAGAATTCTTGTGGTAAGAAAGATTTTAGGTACAAACCTAAGAAGCACTAAATGGATATAATGCAATAATGACATAGGATACAAAAAAATAAATGTGTGTTTTGTTATAACGCAAAGACATTTTATCTCTAGGTCTCGATTATTTTGTTAATGACTCGGCTGCGCTTGTTTACTTTAGTCAGACTATATACATATTTTAATACTAATCATTGTTCTTAGTCTAATGGAAATGTGACAAGGCTCAACATATGCATCAATTATACTTGGTATATTTAGTAAAAAAAAAATTTTACTAAATATGCAAAGTATAACAAAACTGTTATAGAGACTTACGTTGATGTTACAATTTGCTTTTTATGTGCTAAATTACTATCAAATCCATAACAACTCTATATCAATATGTGATTTCACTAATGTAATATCCTATTTACAATTATGCCAATATCAAAAGTCGTAAATTATAAGTGCTTAGATCAAATAATTAATTGAGCCTTATTACAGCAATAGTTGATGTACTGTAGTTATTCCATGATTTTAAGATAAGTGGAAACGAATTTGGCTAACAGTAGAAAAACTGACGACCAGCTATCATCTTTCATAGCCCGCCCATTGTTATTCAGTACGCAATTTGTCCATTGTTGGCAGAGTGATGCTGTTCTATAGTCTCTACGGAATGCATCTACAAGATGGATTTTGCAATTTTTTATTAAGATGCAATGGAAATATTTTTTTTAAATGCATTTTTGGTTAAAAAAAATATTTCAATATCATTCTGCTAAATGTCAAATTTAGAATTCAAACTGCAGAACGACAGCTTTTATCGGTAATTATATAAAAGAAAGGTTTTAAGATACATTATACTCACTTGCAGACTATTTACTACTTATGTATGTAGTATTGTTCATTCCCTTTGTTTTATATATGGTAATTTGTTATAACATTTCATTCAACCCTTTTTCCTAATGACGGAATCTAAGATGTATTATCTTTACATAATAATAAATACTTATAAATTTGTGATAAAATATGAACATTATTGTCATATACATTAAATAATAAATACCTTTCTCTCATAAATTGAAGTTTTATTATTCACAATTCTAATACGATGATGGTTCATTCATAAATATAAAAAGGTGGGCTTAGGGTTGGCAAGGCGCAAGTGACACCACTAGTGTTGCAGGCGTCTATAGGCTACAGTGACCCTTAACCATCAAAGGGGCTGTATGCTTGTTTGCTACCTTTGTGATATGTCTTAAGAACACGAGGTAGTCAAAGAAGTGTAGAACATGGAGTAGTCTTTGAACAGCGCGTGCGATATACTGATCGATCTGCGATTATTATTTTGGATACTAATTACGTTACATTTTTCATTAGATATATAAAATCACATAGTCGTTTATTCCTCTGCTTACTAGACTAAAACAGTTTATTAGCCCTGTATAAGAAATAATAAATTGAAATTGCGTTTTGAACGTCAGGGCGATGAAGCAGTGAAAAATTTTGCATATATAGAAATGAAGCTCCAGCTCGAAGAATCATAGATAAGGTAGTTTTTGTATTGTAATATTGTTCGGTTATAATGTTTATACAATATAAAACTGATTTAATAAAAGTACAACATACTAAAAAAAATTGTGAATTTCATAGACTATAAATTATGAAATTGTCCAAATCCACAATTTTTAAGCGTGCAATTGAAATTGTTATTCGCCTGCAATACCGATTTATCTTGGCGGGATACCAATACCAATACCAGTGATAGATGAGATAAATATTATATTGTGGCCTGAATGCTAAATTATCAGTGAATTTCCAACTGCACATATCGTAAAAACTTAATGTAGATCTAATTTACCATCGGGTCATTTAGACTTTTTAGACCCAAAATTGACCACAGGTGATATTGCCACACAGTGTATATAGCCACAGAGCCATTTTTATTATATTAATCCATACTTGTGAACAGAACCACAAAGAAAATAGTCCATTGTACCACAACTTTAGCACATATTTTCAAATAAATTCTACTTATTCATATTTTTTTTTTTTTGCTTTAATGATATACACCATTTCTAGCTAGCGTAGATTTTAAATTATACAACTGAGTAATTTTTGCGTGAGGCCGGACCAAACATACAGATATACAATATTTATGGAAATTATTGTATTGGCATCTATATAAATTTTTCTTAAATACATTTTTATTAATAAGATACTAGCAGACCCGAATATTTTTTTTTATTATTACATAGGATCTTTTATATTTGTAAAAATAAAAAATCTTCAAGCCCTATTGCAATGCTATTTATCATGTCCTATTGTGGATCTAAATTGACCAGACACCTGAATAGGTGTCTGGTTTGAATAAACAAAAAGTCATGAAATCATACACACATACAGTAGAATTATACAATATATAATTATAAAAAATTACTTTATGTCAAATGAAAAATATTAATTTCACATAATAATATTTATTATTTGTATGTCTAAAATTACTATTCTAATAATTCTTATAATGCTTCAATCTATACAAATAAGCAGCACCTTTGTTGTTACCCATAGCCATATAACCACTGTTAGGGGAAAATCTAACACATTGAATATGATTGTAATTGTCTGCTTGTTGTGGAAAATTGCTAAAAACATGATATGAAGGAATATGAATAAGTTTTACAGCATTCTGAAAGCAATATGATGATATAGCCAGAATTTCTGTGGTATTGTTAAAAGTAATGTCTGTTATTTTAGTGGTTAAATTGGAGATTGTCTTCATTGGAAAAGGTTCAGAAGTAGTTATGTTATTTGTCTCATAGACATTAACAATACCTTCCTGACTCCCTGTCGCTAGGAGCTTACCACATGAACTGTTAGATATGCAAGAAGCATTTATACAACCATTGTCATAAAACTTTTTAACTGCTCTAAATGTAGATAAATCCCATATTGTAATTTCACCTTGTATACAATAACAATATACTTGTTCACTGTTATGACTAAATGTTACACATGCTACTTTATAATTATGTTTTAATGATTTTATAAGTTCTTTAGAATTACTACATATTATATGAACTTCATCAAAACTATCTGAGGTTGCTATATATTTTCCATTAGGTGATAATTTAAATATTAAAGGCCGTTTCACACAGTGAGGAAGTTGTACCATTTTGGGTGTTGCATTTACAAGATCATACATGCAATAATAATGATTAGCTTTAGATGCTAAATATGCCTCTGATCCATCTGGGGAAAACTGAACAGCAGAGACATTATTGAATTTAAAACTGTGAAGCTGATTATTTGTATCACCTCCAACAGAGAACAGGGATACCACTCCAGATAGCCCAGCTACTAATGCTACACTCAACTTAGGATGAAATTCTACACATGAGATAATTTGACCTTGTTTCCTGAATTCACTATTTATATTTTGTAATTTTCTTAGTTGTAGGAAGTTGTTTGATAAATTCAAGCTACCTTTCTTCTTTTGAATGTGACCAACTTTTCTCAAAATGTCACTGTCTTCAAGATTTGCTTCCAGTTTATCTTTTATTTTTGCCCAATTTGGTGTGCCCATCAAACTTTCATACTTGTGTTTAAGTTTTTCTGCATATAAAGTAGTGGTTTTATTTTTTGTATTATTATTACTGGTCAATTGCTCATCATCTTCATCAATCCATGCTGGTTTTAAGTTTAGATCAGGTAAATGCTGGTCTTCTTCATTCTTTATTTTTTCAACAAATCTTTTTGATTTATTAAATAGTAATCCAGATAACCTGAAAACAATACAAAATTCATGTGTTACTTAATTGTAATTATAGTAACAATAGCTTAATATGTCATCAATTCCCAAGTCTTTAAACTATTACCTAATAGTATTAAACCCAGGCAAAAAATATCTGGAAGAACAACCCAGAAAATCCAAATTTATTTAAAAGAGTTTGTGAAATGAACCTGGGTTCATACTTATACAAAGCAACATGCCAACCATTGCACCATAGAGGTCATCAATGATTAGCCCCTTTAAACATTTTTATGCAATGCATATTACATCTATCTTTATACAGTGAAAACTCTATATAGCAAAATTGAAGGTACCGGGTATTTTAATGCATTATAGTTTTCATTAAACAGAGAGTAAAAAAAATATAATTTTATGAATGAGTGTGTTTTAATTTTGATTAAATTAAGTGAAAAAAAAAATACATAACAAGGTTATAATCAGTTATCTTTGTTTGTTGTTTTTTACTATGCCAGTATTTTAATTGTATCTTTCCTTGTATTTTATTATTAACGAAGAATCATTTTTATTATTTAAAAAAAAATGTTTTTTTTTATTTTAATAAAAATCTTTTTTCTGAAAAGAACAAAATATTTACAACTCTGTGACAGTATTGTGTTTGAAGGTTAGTGAAACTAATTTATGATATAATATTGAGGTCTAAATAACTATGTATTGTTTCGCTATTGAGAGTGGTTGCAATGTTATAAAGAGTGTTTGAATACAAGGGTGACAATGTAAACCAAACAAATCTTAGCAATTTCTACATTTCAAGTTTTTGTTTAGTAGTAGTCCGCTATATATAGTTTACACTGTACATAAAAATTTCATGTCACAGTGTTTGTGATGGCACTCCTCCGAAATGGTTTAATAATTTTTTATAAAAAAAATTATATATATTGTGTAGGTATGGGTCCAGAAATATATATGACAGAAGAATGTGAGCCAGGTTAGCTAATTACACAATAAAAGTCTATAGAAGTACAAAGATTAATTTTTGATCAGGCATAAGATTCAATAAAAAGCGAAGAGTTAAATTAAACACAGTTTCAAATATTTTATTTACTATCATGATAACACAAGGAAATTAAAGGTTTTTCACCCAGAAGCAGTAATTACATCCTTCATATAATAAGTAATAAAATGCATGCAAATAGTAAATGTGACATAGTATCTCAAAATTAGCAATAACAACATCACTAGCAGGATTTATTATGAATTGGGCTAATGCATATGAGTATTTAAAAGTATGTGGCCATATTTTAGGGATTCAGCAAACACGTCTACTCAATTATGAATTTAGCAAAGCCACAGTATTTTAAATACAGTTTGTATATACAACAGGCTCTCCCTCTGCCAAAATAATAAGAACAGTTTTCTATCAAGTGAATACCTAAACAAGATAATTCTTTTACTTAAGTTGTAATTGTCATATTTATATTAATCTGTGGTTAAGCAATGTAAATTTGTTGATGTGAGTTTATCATAATAATGAAGAATTTTCTCAGTAATTTGCAATTAGGTATTATGTTGGTCTCTCAAAAACTATAAAACTTGATTGTTTTATTAAATATAATGGCCCTCTTATAATTAATTTACGATTTAATCATATATTAGTAATAAAATTATTTCAATTTTAAATAATTTTACTATTTTGGACAATGATCAAATTGTACCCTCCTATTATAATTAATGATATAATGATCTTTTTGGAAAACGAGTTTAGGTCGGTAAATTTAGAATTACTGGACGTAATAAATATGATTAAAATAAAAGCTACAATGACCACGTTGGGGTGTTGACATCTATTACGAACCTTGACTCTTCTACATCCAAATTAGAACCTTTTCGCTTCATTATTATTATATATTTTATCGTTAATTAAGAATGTTGGATTTAATAAAAGTACATATGATTTAAAATAACCAGAAAAACAACAAAAATGTATAGAAATCTTAATAAACAGATAGCACCACAAAATGAAACAGTGACAAGATAACAAATTAAATTGTCACAAATTAGAGAGACTGCTGTTTGGAATGACGTTTTTAAATGATGCTATGTTACCAAACTATATTCCATTATGCAGATCGTGGCCAGCGCTTCATTTCTAAATATTTTTTTTAAATATAAGTAAAATATGTTGAAATAAATTACGTAGTACATAATAGATTTTTGCTCAATGTGATATAATACAAAGAAAAACGACGTTTTAAGCTTAATTTTTAATAGAATGGAAACGATGAGCTAACAATAAAATTAATATAATTAAAGTTAATATTATCAAATTAATTCATTCATTTACTTATTGATGTAATAGCTGAGCTAATTATATGTCATATTACCAATTAATATGAACTTATAAAATTAACTAAAATCCATTAGTATTATTCTTACCATGATTCTTATTATTTATCGTTAAAAACTTAAATTAAATTATAAGTAATACTTTATTACAAAGATAAATAATATTTAAAATTATGTATGAATAATTAATTAATTATATTTATAGTATGCAGTTTCAAGTCACCGTTCAAGTCACCCTTTAAAATAAAAGTAATTTCAGCAATATTATAGTTGCATATTTATTATACAGTTATGTGCGTGTATGCGTGCGTGCAAATTTTAAATATTTTATCTTTTTTTTTTAATAATTTCATGTAAATTATATTCTTCTATTATATTTGGATATTCTTTAGAAATGAATACAATACTTCCCACTATTGTTTAATGCACTAAAGTGAATTTATATTACTCACCTGGCAAAAACATTAGATTAAAAAATTAAGTAGAGTCAATTAAAGTAACTTAACATACTTTTACTTGTTTTTTTACATTATGAAATAGCTAGGTTTTTTTATGACAGCAATTGTATCAGTATTTTTAATGGAGGTATATATAGGTAGTGATACAATACTATGTTGAATTTACAAAAGACATATATTTTAAAAAAATAATATATTTATAAGTGAAGCACTATTTTTTAAAACTGCATTGCTAGTCTGATCGTCATGATGCCTATTCAAAATAGTCATAACCCGCCATGATGGAACACAGTTTCTAAAAACTGGGGATGGTAACATAGTTTTATACAAAAGTTTCACTGTTACAACTGAAACAGACGTGGTTCGTATTGGTAGGCAGTAAGGATTGCCAGATGCCTATTTTGATTTTTACTCAAACGTAAATGTTTTTTCTATAAATTGGTATGGATGGATATTTATACAACTTTTAACCTATTACAAAGTTAAATTGTTTTATCGTCATGTGCAAATACAGACAATAATAAAGTAGATTAAACATGAAGGATTAATCGGCTATATTATTATCTGTCCCTCTGTATGTCCCGTGTAGAATGAGCTACCCCTTCCTTTCCCGTAAGTATCGTAAAAGGTTACATTAATAAGCAAAATATTTTTTTAAGAGTAGTCATAATTTTATCTTAACGAAAATGAACAACGTCACAAATAAAAAAAATGTTTTTAGGATCATCATAGTATGCCGTCAAAATCAGTTTTTGTAACTTCCATACTAGCTTTTAATGTATAGATTTAGTTAGGAAACATCATGCCAACGTTTAGTTAAATGAGGAAATCACAATAGTGCCAACTTAACTAACAAAAATACTGTCAAATGTGATGCAAATGGCTGCCATTATTTGTGAAACAGTTTTAGCTATTTATTTCATATTACTTTTTATTTTAACGTGGGAATTAAGACTATATATATATATATATATATATATATATATATATATATATATATATATATATATATATATATATATATATATATATATATATATATATATATATATATATATATATAAATTAATGCCACTTTTCGATGTAATTTTATAACTCAAGAACGGGCTCACCTATCCAAATCAAATGTTTAGGCTTTGTTGGGACTATTTAGTAGATGGTTTATGTGAAGTTTGTACAAAATCGATCCAGCTGTTCTTCATTTATCACATTATTTGTAACAAGTAAATTCAATAAATGGCGGATAATTTTTTTAATGGGGATTTTTGTGTTAAATTTAAACTTTTTTAAGATGTGAGATGTAAGAGATTGTGCTGTTAAATTGAAACTTTAGTGTTGACAGTACAAGCATGTTGTTATTCATGTGGTCATTTCATTTTGGATATTCATATTTTGGAGATTCTTAGAAATAGAAAAAATAACGCTGTCGCGTTGTACATATTTTTCGTATCGTATTTTAGCGGTGCGAAAGAGGTGCAAGTGGGGGCAGGCACATTTATGAAATAGGTAGCTAGGTAGGTACAGATAAAAATGTAAAATGTTGTAAAAATGTCCAACCGTGCAAAGCCGGGACGGGCCGCTAGTATGTATATAAATAATATTGACTCTATTACAAGGTCCACTCCAGACGTAGGTAATATTGTAAAAAATAATAAATATATTCAAGAATGTAACGCTTTGTTTTATTTTTTCTAAAAAATATATTTTATGAAACATATTGTATTTGGCATAAAACTTATATATTTATTTTAACGCAGAAACTCGCGTTTCAATGAGAAATATTTACATTTTATTAATATTGAGAAACTAACTATAGTATCATTATAACCATTTTAAACTTCAGACTGGCTAACATAGCCAGAGAGAGAGTATGTTTTTGTGTAGATTGGTGAGATATTCGTGACCGAGTCTTTTTACGTGACTTGTATAAAGTGTGCTTCTCTTTTCGAGTTTGTTTTATTATCATATCTGTGGTATTATATCATCAATATCGCATTATGTTAACGATAAAAAACTACTGTTTTTTTTTCTTTTCCTTATAATGAAGTGTTATTTTTCTAAACCTATTTCTAAAATTAAGATTTCAGTTTGAAATCACAGTGAAGTGTGGACCAATATGAACAAATTTTTTATTAGATTTAAGTCAAAATAAGTATAATTTTGGTATGGTGATCCATAAAACATTTTGGGGAATTATAAAAATATAATATTAGGTTAAGAAACAATGCCACAGAGCAAGTTATCACTATCTACGTAATATCTTGTAGTAATGTCATCACAGAATTAACTCCAGTGTTGCCTTATATTTACTAGCATTTTATTATTAGATAGTAAAGACCTAAGTACTTATTTTTGGCATATTTGTCTATGGTAAATCGGTAAAGTAGTTCTGTAATTTAGCACCATTGGTATCGATAGATGTCGCTGTTACAGAGTTTTTAATTATTTTGCATCTCTTTTTCAGAGCTGGATGGATGGATGGATGGATAGGTTTTTAAAGAAACCAATCTACATAAACTCGTCGTGTATAACAATCTCTAGTTTTTCTTCCATTCGTTATTCACACTATTTGCAGTGTTTCTCTTCTGCATCCAATTCTTCACAAAGATAGTGTACAACATTTTTGTTGTTGCTTTGTGTGCTCAAGTAAATAATTACGGCTCAGCTTTGAAAAATGGTGAATTTGATCAAAATAAAGTTCGCGTATGTGTAAAATGAAGTGGACACTTTTCATTCGGTGACCTTTTCATTCTCAAGAATTGTGTCTGTAGTGGTAATCATTGCACAATAGTTATAAAAAACGTTTTTATTGCAGGTAGTTAAGTTTTACAATGGGGCCGAAAAGGGCCCCGCCATAAAATTATGAGATCAGTTGTTTATAGGTCATCGTAAAACTATTATATTTCATGACATCCATACGGAAAAACCGAACGGTAGAGAATGTTGCTGCGTTTTCAAAGCGTATGCAATTTGTCGAGCGATGATCAGTGGGTCGAAAGCGATGCCAGGTGGATTCCCGTTCGGGCCGCTGGAGGATCGCGTCTTGGTGTGTTCAGCTAATGTGCAGCCGGCTTACTCGGCGTGTGATGTGTGTGCGCGATGTCAGGCAAGCCCGCGAGTGTGGGCGCGTCGCGAGCAGGCGTGCCCGGCACACCGCGCGTGCTGGTGTACGTGGCGGACCCGCGCCAGCTAGAGCCCGGCGCCGCGGCCCCTGACCCCCCTCCAGCCGCACCACCACCCTCTCACCTTGACGCCCTTTATCTTCCTGATACCTTGCAGCAGCAAGTAGCATTGCCAAGAAGCACTATATACAGGACACAAGTTGAACGTAATGACCAGAGAAACACATCAGGAACAATTTTCTATAAACATCTCAATGATACTGATTGTAAACGTGGATTGTTTGGTGCAACCGATAACACTACAGTTCAACCAGAGTGTCTGCCTATCTCACAACAGATTATTAAAGATTCATGTTTAAAAAATGATGAAAACATAGTGAGTAATCATCTTGATAATGTAAATCTAAAAAGAGACAGTGGTGATGGAGACGAGGTAGGTAGTATTGAAACTTTTCAAGCTAGCATACCTGGACAGCCAGGAGAAATACCGACATATCAAACAAGAGGTTCAATACATGTGAGTTCAGATAGTGTTATGCCACCTATTACATTGCGTCACACACAGAACCAATTTAGTGAGAGTGTTAATGTTCAGACTGGTGCTGATGCATGTAACTCTAATGACAGAGAACTGACTGTGGGTAGGAGCTATGTGAATTATCAGTTTTTAGAACAAAGTGTTTCACATCAGTCAATAGTGAACCAGAGTATAAGTATACTGAATCAACAAGTAGGAGTGAGTAGAGGAATAGTTAGTGAAGGTGATAGTGGCAGTGCACCGCAACTTGTCCGCACAGCGGATGGTGTGGTACTAGCAGTGCTACCGTCAGGGTTGCCACAAACCACTGACACCACCGATCTTACTTCAAGAACTACATACAGTGAAACACCACAAACTATTGTTGTGCCATTAGGTTGGAGGAGACTTGTCAGTGGCACATCAGTCATTTATATAAGGTATGTATTTTTGCATTATCTTTATTATTTTAGATTTACTACCTTTTTGCATTTAATACAATATATGAAACAGGTTCACTGAAATACTGTTTTATTATTCTATCAAACCTTTATGCTTTTAATTACTATTATTTTTTATATCTAACCAGTAGGTAACAATTTATAAATGTGTTTATACATTATTTAGTTAAAATCAATTATGTTTATTTCTATCTAAATATTTAGACTAATGTAGTGATATTTCAAATATGTAGAAATAAAAGCATATATTAAAAATATATTTATTTTAGGTAGGTACTACATTTTTACTTTATAAATTTAAAACTTAAAAATTTAAATACTTTCAAATATGTGACATTAATATATTCTAAGTTATATATAAAAGCTACTTAAATGTCAAATAGTACTAATAACATGTTTGACACTATTTAATTGGACAGAATTAAGTAAATAATGTGCATAAAAACCTTGGTTTTGAATTATGGAGAATATAAGACATTATTATTAAAAGATAATACTCACCTTGACATAAATGTGATACATATACACTATTAGGGCTAATACTTTTTTTAAATTGAATGCTTTAAGTTATCAATTGTTGACTACTGTAACCCTAATGCCTTCTAATGGCTTTATCCAACTTTAATATTAGTGATATCAATAGAATTACTTGTGACCTCCCTGTTAAGAATGGACTTCATTCTGAAATGTCATTGTTCATACAAAGATAAATTATTTCAATTGTTTGGACATAATTGTTATGCATACATGATAAATAAATTTCAGATGGCTAGTTGACAGCAGATTTAAAATATGAGTAATAACTTTTATTTATGAGTATATTTAATCATTTCCTTTCTCCACTGCATTTAGTTGGTTGGAAGAGATCTCTTTTAGAGATATGCTCACCTTTGCTAACAAGTTGTTAAACCAAATGCTATATAAATTTTTTTACAAGTACAATAATGTACATCTATAATAATATTTACTTGCCAATTTTTCTACAAATTAATATTAAGTTCTAGATTAAAAAATAAACTTTTATAAAAATAAAATGACCACAATTGAAAAATCCAGAGAAAATAATATTATATCTAAAACTGATTATTATTTGAAAGAACTATTTCTGATCTAAATATAATAAAGTATACAAAATATCTGAGGTTTAATCATTAAGTATGCTTTCTAAAATTCTCCATATTCTAAGATATAATTACACAGTTAGGTAATTATATCTTTTGAAATGATTTTTTTATGAAAAAATGCATACTATATGGAGTTTTCAACCTCATTTTATCTATAAGAATTAAATGTGGCATTTGATGTCATCATATTTCATATGCAAATAAATATTGCATTTATTCATAATAACAATTATTCACTGCAGTGATATTTTAAATAGTAAAGTTATTAATTATTCATGTAAAATCTGATTTTCAAGGTTTCATTCTATTTTATTGTGTACACTGTAGATTCTTAAAAGCACAGTGATAAGATTAAGGTGCTTGGCCTCTCATTAATTTAAGATAGTTTGTACTGTTTTCTTTTTTTACTTATAAATTTAGAACTGGCTTAATATATAGTATCTGATCTCCTAGATTGAGGAGTAGCACTTTTTATGTCTACAAGATCAAGTCTGGGGTAGTTAATGCTTTTGTCCCAGTTTAATATTTGTAATGCCTGTTACATCATAAATTAAATAATTCTAGTTTGAAAACTAGGGAGTTGATGTCTGTAGATTATTAAAGTAAGATATTATATATATCTTACTTTAATAAGCTAAGCTAATTGTGGGAAATCAGTGGTTTACCTGGGTTTTATTGATAAATGAAGTTGAAATACCAGTTTACCATATTATATACTATGTATATAAATACATAGTTTACCAGAGGGAGACTTTGTACAAAAGCTGATTGCTTGGGTACCTCTGTCCCATTCATGTTTCCACCGCGAAGCAGTTGTGTTTGCATGGCTGTGTTTCGGTTTGAAGGGTGGGATATGGCGTGAATTTACTGGGTACAGAGGGATAACACCTGAGTCCTCAGGAATGGCAACGCATGGGGGGGTATCATGGGCGAAACAGTATACTCTGTTATGTCCATGGTACTGCTCATGTCTATAGGCGACGGTTACCACTTTCCATCAGGTGGGCTGTCAGCTTGTTTGCCATTCTAAGTTGTATAAAAAAAAAGTTGAAATGATGCCCATAGTTATATAATGGAAGGGCAACGGTGGAGGATGAAGTGATTAAGATAAATTAAGGTTAGTAGTCACATGATGGTGAACAATTATATTACAAAAGGAATTAACTGTGATGGTTTCCAGGGAGAGGTCAACTTAATAGAGGATATTGCTAGCAATGGGGACTAATGTCCCTATTGTCCTTATACCCACTACTTGTGCAGGTTGATCGTATATTGTTGCATATATAGTATGATTGAATTGTCGGGGGGTTTTAATTAAAAATGAATAATATGATCATTATATGCTGTCCTTCAAAAGAAATGCAGTAGGATCTATTAAATTTAAAAATGTTGAAAAAAATTCATTAAATATCTAAGTTGTTACTTTACTATGAGTACAGTAACAGTAGTTCGTTAGGATCTTCCAAAAGATATAATACATTAAAAATTAACACTACATATGAAAAACTTATTGCAATATAAACAAATTTGAATAAAAACTACTAGGTAGTTTAAATGAAAAATACTTCTGCTTCCCTACTTCAATATCTATGTTTTATAAGAGACGTGAATTAACGCGATCATTTGATAAACTATGATAATTTACAGGTATTATCTCAACATTTGTACCAGGTTTTTTCTCTTTGTTTGGTATACTTATTGAACTAGCGACAGGACACCCGAAATGAAGAAAATTAAATAAATAAAAGTGCGGTACAGATGTTTCTTTTTTGTATTAGCAAATACGTATAAATTTAGATAGTCTATTATATTAGATACTTAGTGGTCGCAGGATGGGCAGCAGCGTCTCTTAAGACATCACTAAACGCCTAACTGCGTTTGCAAACTCACCTACCAAGCGTACTAGCAAAACTCCCCTTATGGGGAAGGTTTATGTTCAGCAGTGGACAGTTACCGGCTGATACGATGATTATATTTTATTTATTATTATATATATTAGACTCCCCCTTATTCCTCAGTGTTGTTCCTGCGTGGCGGTAGTAACTTACCATCAGGTGGGCCGTATGTACGTTGACCGTTTAGTTTAAGGACTTGTACAAACCTTATCTTTTTGCTAAAATAACATTGAATTGTATTATGTACATAACGCATCCGTAATTGTGGCAGGTCTTTGGCGCAAGCAGTAGACAATTTTGTCCTGAGTAAACAAAAATCCTACATCTGCGTTAATTATCGTTTGGATTGAATTAAATTTGAATGTTTCATAACATGTATTACATATTTAGTCTCGGCCCTTTTTTGTCTTTTTGGCTATTTTTGTTGTACATATATCTCTGATGTTGCTTACAGTTTAATTTGCTTCCTGAAGGAATTGAATATTCGACAATCTCAGTTACGGTAGGTAGATATCACACAACTTTTCTCGCTTCTGTCTTAATTGTTGACGAACGTCTCGGCTTCCATGTTCAATACATCTACTCGAACATTTTGGTTTCGGGTACTTTTGCTGCTTAAACTTGCTTGTACTTTTGAGCTGTAATTTTCACGAAGATATCCTCAACAACCATGTTACTTCTATTTTCTTATTTATAGATCCATGTCAAGATGCCCTAAATAACGTGCTTTATCTTCACCTATTATCCGAGATTGGTGCCTGGCCAGCGCAGGTATAGTTATTATTTTAATCAATTTTAAAGAAAAATATAGATCGGCAATGGACAGCTAATGCTAGAAATAATGATAATTATCTTATAGATATGATCATAGAAGTATTTATTCTCTTAAAACACGCAACATTCTTATTTAGATCCTAATCAAGTATAAATTAATAATCTATTAATAAACCTATATAATAAATTAATAAACTTATTTCAGCTTAACTTGATTGTCAATATTGAATCAATGATTTGTTTATTGTCGTCGTGTTCTTGAAACTTGATAGAAATATGATGTCAACTAAACAATCAATGCTTTAAATAGATACTAGTTAAGTAGTAATGAAGCACCTGAGTAGAGCGAACGAGGTCTGCGGATCGTACTTTAACGTTAAATCAATCCGCCGCCGTCGCAAGTGGACAAACCAGTCGGGCAGCTGTGCGGACGCAGCCTCGGTGCAAGTGACGAAACATTTAAAGACTGGCTACAACTCTCTTTTGCTTTAATAAATAATAATATTCTCTCAGATCCATATGTAGACAGTGCTGCATCTTTGTTGCATTTATATATGTGCTTGTTTTCTGAGAACGATGACATGTAGGCATTTACACAAAAAAGCAAACTTGATTGCAGTAGGTATACTGCATAGATATAGTGTGACTATACTATATCGGTTGAATGAGCAATATAACCCTACAGTATGTTAGTTTACCTATCGCCAGGTATATATATATATATATATATATATATATATATATATATATATATATATATATATATATATATATATATATATATATATATATATATATATATATATATATATATATATAATATGCCAGTTTATGTTTCCTCGGTTACATAATTCCAATCTTGTAGTAACGAGATCAGATGATTTACATATACTTATAAAATACCAGTCTACATTTGAAAATATTGTACTTGTATGTTGTGTTAAGAACATTTATATTAACTCGTAACAGATTTTTACTAAAATATCCTTTTGTATAGAAAAGTGTAATAAACAATATTTAAATAAAAATGATATTTTATTAATCAGGTTATTTTCAAAGTTATCGATGGCTTGATTGGTTTGATGGAAAGGATTAATACCTATAATGAGAACTTCTGCTATAGAAATCACTATGAAAATATTTTGAGTAAGGTGGATGAGGGACAGAATTTCTAATTTGAATTCCT